TGCCACCCATCACAGTACAGGCTTGATTCTGAAAATGGTGCTCTGGTGACACAAATTTAGATCATAAAAATGTTTGAGAGAACAAAAGTAAGCCACCCTACTTTTGTGGTGTGTACATAGAATGTGCGGTTCTGATGCGTGTAGCTTTTTGCCATGGCTGAGCTGCTGTCATGCTCAGTTTTTTGGAGTTTTTTTTTTTTGGCTCTGATTTCTTCCCTTTTTCTGTTAGCGCTGTCAATCGGTGGGTTCCCACATCACCAATTAGTGAGTCTTTATTTTTCCATTCAGATGTCGAATCGAAATTTGGCATGTCATCATTTTTGAATACCATCATCATTTTAAACTACGGTCATCATTGTACATACTGTGGTAGACGGTATCACCATCATACTGCCCAACCCTAGAAACCACTGTCCTTGACAAAACCAAGCATATGAGTGCAGCCTATCAATAAAGTGGGTATAATGTGAGTGAAGTGGGATGTGATGGTGAGGGGTTATGCTATGCCCACACCCACACTCAAATGACTATTACCATACCCTCCTCTCCTTCTCTCTGGATCTCAGTCAGAATTGAGAAAGCTGCTGAAAGGCCATGTCTCTCAGCTTTAGATTTATGGATATGCTGCACTCAAGCACCCACAAACTATTTCCATCCCTCTGCATTCCCACCAACAGCCAGAGTTTAGCCAATGATTTCACAAAATTGAGTCATTTACCATATCTGTCAGAGGGCGGAGACAAACATCTGATGGATGCTTTTTTTAACACTAACCAATATATCACAGTTCTCCGTATGAGTCTGTATGATTATCCTTATGTTTATTAACCACTTATGACACAACGTCTCAGAAGGAGGTCAGAGAGCTGAAAAATGTGATCACTATAGCAGGATGACACAGTGATGTCTTTAAAGGGTCCAGATTTGAAAAACCATGTTTTTAAAATAAGAGTTCATAAAAGTTTGGGGAAAAAGTGCATTAACTAAGATTACGAGGTTAACCTGATAATGAGCCTGTGATCGTGACGTGTGTCTGAACTCCAACGACTGTTAAGGAATGCTTAGATTATGTAACAAAACATATTACAAGTTACATGTGTACATATTGGTAAAGTTTCAAAACCAGTCCAAATACAGTCCAATATATTTATAGTCCAAATGTATGAAATGTCTGTTTTTTACTTATTGCTTTTTTAATGTCACAAAAACAAAACATCCACATATATATGCCTGTTCAGCTTACACTAGTTCAGCCATTCACTCTGTGGTTATAAGTAGTGTTTCAAACTGGACCGTTTTGAAATGAGACAGGGCAGCCAGCCAGAACAGAGATCATTTACATATACCAGTAATATATTGTTGCTGTCCAAAAAAAAGTCATACATATAGGCATAAAACATGTATGCGTTTTTTTGAATTATTATTTAAATTTCATTTTTCTGCATCATTTGAAAACAACAGCTTTACATTGTGTGAATATTTTAAGATAAATGAATCAATAGAAATGCTTCAAAATCACTTCTCTTACATCTCTATACAGTAACTTGCATTAAGAGCTAAGAATGTGACAATATGTGAACAGATATAACACTTACAAAATTTGTTTGAAAATGGTCATTTAAAAATGGATTTGGCTGCTGTTGGCACACAAAAAAACACAAATGCCATAAGTGGGGAAAAAAATAAAATGCAGGAAAAATGTAAGACATGGGCACTTTATTTGATAAATCACATTGAGGCCATTATGTGCGGAAGCTGGAGACTCCTTAATGATTTCATTCAATCCGTTTAGTAGTGAAGATACTTGAATTGATGTAACTGTTCTGTTAAATTCATTTAATGACATGAGTGTCACATCTCTCTCTCCCCCCCTCTCTCTCTGTATCCCCATTGCTACATTATACATCCTGGAGGAGGGATGTGAGATTGATGACAGCAACTTCAGCAGATGGGGGAAATGATTGAATCCTGACTTTGGCTGAAAATGAAAATATTTGCTCGCAGTGCAGTGGCCCATGAGGGGCTTATGAGAAGGGGAATGAAATGTTCTTTTTCCCACAAGTCCCTTCTATTATAGAGGGGCCACACAATCTGAGTGGAGCCCTCTAGCCCCTTGCTCAGGACCGTTCACCAGAGCGCCTGAGAGCCCAGCCAAACCAGCCTCACTTTTCCCACATCACGTTCAGTGATATTGAAAGCTTGGTGGGGAGGGACGAGACAGGGAAAAAAATGGGGAGGGGTGTGTGTTTGAGGCCCCATCTATCAGCCCCACTCATCTCTCTCCATCACTGTCAAACCTTAGTGCTCTTCACACTCTCATACTGACCTACGATTGTGCTACGTCTGCTGTAAATCTCTCTCACTGTATCTCTCTCTCTCTCTCTCTCTCTCTCTCTCTCTCTCTCACACACACACACACACACACTTTCTTTCTCTCAGTGTTTCTCCCTCTCTCTCTTTCATTTTTTGCTTCTTCACTCTCTTTCTGTCTCTCTGTCTTTCTCTCTTTCTCTCTTTCTCAGAATGAAAATCTGTTTTGTTTACATGGACTGTGCGGAGTTCTAATATAAATAAATAGTAGGGTTGAGAAGCTATTAGACCACGCCATTGTGGAATTTTACTGTTTGTAAATCAGCAAGTTGCACCAAATTAGCTAGCAGATAACCCATAATACCAGATATTATGATAGCAAACAGGATGGTTACTGTCATACGCAAAAAGTTTTGGTGGTGAAGTGAAAATAAGTTAACACATCCTCTACAGGGAACAAACATATTTATAACACTCACAGAAAACAAATCAAACTTAAAAATGCAGCTTAAATATTTCTTGCAGCTTGAGATTGGGTAGGCTTGTCATTAATCATTAGGGCACATACTGTGACTGCACCTGCATGGAAGTAAAAGATAACTTTATCAGCTGGCAACAGAGATTCCACATTAATGTTTCTGTTCTTAAACTGTATTACTTTTTCGGTTTTGTTTTTATGTTTCTAGCAAAATGCTATACATTTTAGAGCCCTTTTTATGCGCTGTGTGATTCAGCTTTCGCTTTCAGCATGTATGGCCTCAGGGCTGAGCTATTGTTGCTACTAGACATGTCCACTACACCTATTTTTTATTTTTTTCCTTCAAGTGGTGTCAGATTTAATTCTCTGATATTTTTATATTTGCTAGAGAAAATGTTATTTTGTTTATTTTGGTCCTGTCCTGCAGTGATCGAATATTCATTTTTCCAGCATTTTGTATGCCAGCCTTTTTCTGCCTGGTATGGTCACGAAGATATACTCTCCCTCCTTTGCCCCCTCTCTTACCCCTTCCCCTGTCTCTCTCCATCTCTCGCTCTCTGTCTCTCTCTCTCTGTCTCTCCTTTTCTCTGTCTCTCTCTCTCTCTCTCTCTCTCTCTCTCTCTTTCTCTCTCTGTCTCTCACTCTCTCACTTGCTCCTTTACTTCCTGCCTACTTTTTCTTCCTCCTCCATCTGCCACATTGTCAAAGCAGAAGCAGTCAGGGGGCTTAAAAGGGCTGTTCATCCACTGTGCCTCCGCTGCTGATTAATACCTGCTCCATTATTCTATTGGAGCATACTGATGGAGAGAGAGGAAGGCATGGGAAACATGGATGTGAAGAAGGCAGTATTCTAATTCTAATGCTGAAATTTTGACCATAGAGCACTTATTAGATCTGGCAATAGAGTGCCTATTAGGCCTGGCCATAGAGCACTTATTAGGGATGAAAAGCCAAATGAAAGTTTGATAGAGGGCAGAGGAAGGAGAGTGCAGGAAATGAGGGATGGGGCTGGGTTTCCTCTCTGAAAAAAATAGTGTGAGCTCCCTTCCTCTGTGGTGATGGAAAGAGGAAGCATGTTGATATGGTGAAGGTGAAAGCAGTGAGGTTGTTGATGTTGTAGAGGTGAAAGCAGTAGAGTTGCTGATGTTGTAGAGTTGTTGATGTTGTGAAGGTGAAAGCAGTGGACTTGCTAATGTTGTGGAGGTTAAACCGGTGAAGGTGGGGGTTTTTTTTTGGTGGCACAGCTGAGTCACTAAACCACACTGACTTGGCTTCCCTGAGGTAGACACACTTACACTGACTCACTCCATAGGCCGGCTGCCTGGAAACACTACAGGTGCATGTCGTGCACTCACACACATGCAAACAAACATTCTGGGACAGGCCGATGACCTAGAAATATGATGCAAGTTCACTGCTTGTACACAACATAAACACACAAGGGCCATTAACCTGGAAAACATAGGGATGACTTGAGTCCACTGAAGAAAGGGACTTTTCAGGATCCAGTTATTCTCTGTTCATGTATGTTTTTTTGCTGATTAAAAAAACATTTTTGACATTAAGTCTGTTGTATTTCCTGAGCTCAGCTGAGTTTGCCTTTGTAGTGTTAGTGTTTCCAGCACACCCACGTCAAGTCATGAAGGGCTTGTTAATGAGCTGATTAGTTGGACCAGGTGTGTTAGGAGCAGGTTAAACATGAAAATATGCAGGGCAGGGGTTCCCAAGTAAAAGAAATTGCAAACCAAATGGTGATTCTCCATTAAAAAATCAGATCTATATGTAGCAATTCAAATGAACATGGCTTCCTCCAACGTTTTTGGAAATGGGGTTGTATGAGCATTCAGCGGCCATGTTTTGAAAAAAATAACTGTATATAATTTCCTGAAAAATAATTATTTTTTCCACTGCCATGGTCCAAGGCAAAAGTTGGGAAATCGCAGTGGTAAGTGGAATGTTGCTGCTGGTGGTGGCTTTTTCCATCCTTGTACCATTTAAAGCAGCGAAGTATCTCTTTTGCCATCATCCGTGTACCAGCAACAGCATCACAGTTGATCTGAAGTCTGCATTCTCCATTGAACAAAAAAGTCTTTTGCTCAAAGCTAAACAGCTTCCAAACTGTGCTGACATCTCTGTGATTCAAGACTGATGTCTGTTTTTACTCTGCAACTTAAGGCTAATGTCTGATGTATCCTTCTGGTCCTCTCCATAGGTAAGAGCCCATACCTGATGTTCACCAACCGACACGAAATCCGGCGGATTGACCTCGTAAGGAGGGATTATACCCAGGTGGTGCCCACCTTGAAGAATGCTGTAGCGCTGGATGTAGACGTGACCACCAATAAAATGTACTGGTGTGACCTCTTTCATCGCAAGATCTTCAGGTAAAAATTGAGGGGCAGACACAGTATGATCGTGTGTCACACGTAATTTACAGCCATGGAACATTTATCACTGTTCATGCTGTTCATGCTAAGTGTCCATGTGACATAAGCCTAGTGTATGCTTCCACGCTAATGATCTAATGACTCAAGCTGGTAGCGTCTGAGGGTCTTCTTGCACAGAGAAATGTTGCTGATGCAGTGGCAGTTGGACACAAAGTCATTGGTCCCTTTAAACATCCTGCCTTGCTATATTCTCGCCATGAATACTGTGAGATTTTTGTAACGACAAAATCACAACCACATAGGCTAACAAGGGACACAAAAAAGTCAACATTTGCAGTACAATAGTCTGTATATGCCTACTTTAATTTTATTGACTGAATAGATTGCAAAGTATAAAGTTTAATATAGTTATTTTTAAAAGTGTCTTTAAAATAGGCTGCAGCGAGACTGTGTTGTCCTATATGTGTACATCAGCACCTGGTTTTAGTTTCAGTGCACAGTGTGGCACAAGTTAACAGAGCCACTCAGTTTGTCAGCTTTTGTGCTCAGTGCTTGGATGTACAGCGTGTTATTTTGAATGAAACAGCTTTATTGAAAATTGTTTATAGACAGAGATGTTTGTAGGGGCTGCGTTTCACATAGCATGTTACCAGACCAAGCGTTTTCGTACAGTGTGAGCATATAAATCTTAGGCTTTGCCTGTACATGACAGTATATTCAAACGTACAATGTGCGTCACAAAGGAACAAGATTTCTAAAGTCACACAGTGTATGACTGCCTTTAGAGGACATTCAACTGCCGCACAATCAGCTAACTAGCCAAAAAAAGATTCCAACGAGACGTAAAACTTGACAAGTGAGCTTCTCAGATGAATTAGCCTAGAATGTGATGCATCCCTACTGAAAACATGACATCCCACTCGATATTCAGAAAACACCTTGTAGCCTACATACAGTAACAATTATCGAAAGTTTATTTTAAGTTTACTTTATATTTTATGTGATTGAAAGCAGTTTTCATCAAAATAAGTGTATTTCCTTCAGTTCAAAAGCAATTCAAAAGTTGATTCAAAAGCATAAATGAACCAGCCCATAAAATATATATATATTTTTCGGTTTCGGTTTTGAATTTTAGTTTCACTTTTGGCCAAGAATTTTAATTTCTGTGCATCACTAATGTTTAGAAATCTTCTATTGTTTTAATTTTTTTTGTCCTTATCTTAAACCTGTGCCTTCTCTCCATTTCTCTGGTACTAAGCATCTCTCACACACATTCAGAAACTTACTCACATGCTGCTGATGAGCAGCTTGACGGTTGTCTAATATTAACGAGGGTATGATCGTTTGTAATTAGAGTTAATCGCCCTGATAGGCCTAAGCGAGGCTGCTTGGCTGCTGAGTGCTGAAACTGAAGCCTCCTCACAGCACTCTTCAGCCCCTCTCAGTTTTCACACAATGCAGCCTCTCTTACAGCTTTTCAAACAATCAATATCATATGCTGGAGCTTTTGCTGTTGTGTACATATGTGCATATAGACACATGCTGATGTGCATTCTCATATGTCTTTAGAAAAAGGGATTCTCTTATTCTCTTACAGACTAATGGATACTGCTCACTTAATTACTTATTCAGACACACTGCCTCTGTCTCTTTTTGTCTCTCTCTTTCTGTTTCTCTCAATTCTTCCCTCACCTCTGTATCTTTCTCTTGTCCTCCCACACTCAGCTGGATGCACTAATTAATGGTGATCTGCTGAATAATGCTTACAGCTTCTTTGATTTTTGACAGTGCAGTGGTACAACTATTTAAACAGTTGTTAGCGTTAGCTGGCTGGTTAAGTCAGTTGGTTGCAGGAATTTTAGCTTCGAGAAACTCATGTTTGTTTGTCATGGCTCAGGTAACTGACAAAATGTCACTTGAGGATCTCCTTTTCAATCGTCCAGTAAACCATCTGCCTTTGATTTTCTTTTCCATTAATACGGCATCGCTGATCCAAAATGTATAAAATCTGTGTTTTGATTGACTCTTTTATGAAACTTGAAACTCACATTTTTTTGGAAGGACAAGAATAAAATATATATTTATAGAATGCTTTGCGAAAGGGCATTTTTTAAAAGCATCATCTCTAAAAGTTTAGCTACATGCCATGTTGGGTGACACTGGGGCACAGACAGTTTGCACTCTTTACATGTGCTCTTCACCTTGCTTGACGTAGACCCAGTCTCTCTTCCCATGTCACCCTGAGTCCCATCAGTCTCTACTAAATCATCTTAGCTACACCATATGCTGCCTTTAATTTATCCCCCACTTTAATATGCCCCATTACTCATCTCCTCTTCCTCTTCGAAAGTCTGTGGGTAGAGAGATGGTTCATTAGCATAAGCACTTCCAGAAACCTTGGGAACGCAGTTGATGCCTCAGAACTGTGTGAAGCATTCTAACTTGTCAGTGTTTTTTGTTGGTGTTCTGTGCATCCTGACACGAAGAGAATGATTTGTGATTTTTGCCTTGAGGAAACTGCCATCATAACTCCCTGCCACTTGGAATTTTCTGACTTCTTTTGGTGGTGCTTGTTTGGATATATATGCTGATTAGCAATTACAAATCTCTATCAAAATATGGCAATTTTTAAATGAGGGCCACTGAACCTATCCCATTTAATTATGAAGTCTAGCCTAAGTCAGGTTGCCTTGAGTGACAACTGAATTAGTAGTAAATTAGAAAAGCATATTCATTGAATCTTGTTGTACTCTGTGACTTGCTCTGGTAGTTTCTTTTTATGCTGTTTTGGGAGTGGGCAATCAGTATTGCCTCCAGATGATTTATAGGTCATGCCAGTGTTATCATGGGTCTGATTAATTCTGATTAGCATCATTTTCAGTCAATGTAATGCAAGTTTTTAGCCAGAATATCTGAAGCCAAAAATAACACAAGCAATTAGGAAACCAATCTGTTGTTTCTATTCAGATAATTCATCTTTGTCAAATACTTGCCTGCACTTAACACACAATGTAGTTAACTTTCTTGTTTACTACTTTTTATTATGTAGCCTGTGGCTTGCAGAGCATGACCTGAGTTTTAGCATGTAATGTGGATTTTATGAACCACTGCATTGAAAGTTATCAGACTTCTACAACTGAAACTTTGGAGGTGTAGAAAAATATCCTTGCAGGTTTATTTTAAAATGCTGATAGCAAGTCTGGTGGAAAGAATGGAAGCTGCAATAAAGGCAAAGTGTGTATACAGTAAATGCAAATGGTCTTATATATAGTTGTTGAGGCTTCTTCTTATTTTTCTATTAAATATGTTTTCTGCTTGTTTCCTTATCCTGAATGTATGTTGTTGAATAACTTGTATGACCATTTTGTCTATATACACACAGTTGTTTTAGCATGATTATCAGGTTTGGACCACTGTTACCTAGGCCGTGAACACTTTCATTACCCTCTAGTCTTCTTTCAGTTGCTTTCTCTTCTCCTTGTTTGGCATTCTCTTTGAGTCAGCTGAATTAGAATTGGGCCAGTACACCTGCTCCTAATAATAGAGTTCTTAGCTAAGCTAGAGTGCGCACAAGAGAAATGTTCCCTGACCAAGTCTGCCTCTGTCCTTGTGATTCGCGGAAGCAGCTCTTTGAAAAGAGTCTTACAGCCTCGCTGCCTGATAAGGGAAGACAGACCTATTCTGTGAGCGAGTGCCCAATGTGGTGCAGCATCTGTTAAAGAGGCATTCACTTAAAAAGCCACAGATGGAACATTACCAGGTTGCAAAGTTCTACCCCCACTGGTGACAAGTAACATTAAGATGATTAGTTGCTTTGTAATGAGCCCCAGAATGCAGTGGCTTGACTTATCATAGCATGTCATTCACATTAGCTGCCATCATGCCTCAAGGTGAAGTCATGTGTCATTCTGTAAATGTCCTAACATCAGGTTAGTGAACAGATCCGAGTGGTGAATAACATTATTCTGTCCTACCAACATTATTTGCGAAATATACAGGTGCTGGGTAGCTTCGATGCCTGCATATGAATATAAACAACAGCTGGGTATAGGAGTTGTTTGTGAGGTACATACTCACCAAGAGGTTGTTAGATACACCCAGTATGCTGTGATTGGTCATGAATAAATTGGTACCATCTGGGTCTAAAAGCTGTAGACTCATGCACTGTCAGAAAAAAGGTACTGTGCAGGTACATTTTTCATTCATCAAGGTACAAACTATGTAAATGTACCCTCAAAGGTACAACAGTAGATTTAAGGTCTGACTATGTACCTTTGATAAGTTTTTCCCTTGGGAAAGGTACATAATTCTAGTTTTTCATAAATTAATAATTTAAAAACAGACCAATAAAATAAAAAGGCTAAAGATGAGCCATGTTGTATTGAGTCAGTACTTAGAAAAATAGAATTCCAATGGAACATGGTACCAATATGTTCCCTAACTAATGGTACTGAAGACAAACCCTTGAGAGTATCAACCCAGTGACAGTTTAGTACCTTTTTTCTTTTGAAAGTGTGTATGTGTTTTCTTTTCTTTTTTAGTGCATATATCAACAAAGCCAGCAACTCATCTGAACAGACCACACTTATTGACACTGCACTACATTCACCGGAAGGCATAGCTGTGGATTGGGTCCATAAGAACATCTACTGGACTGATTCTGGACACAAGACCATTTCTGTTGCAACTAGTGATGGCAAGAAGAGAAAAGTGTTGATTGATACTGAACTGAGTGAACCACGTGCAATTGCTGTTGACCCAAGACAAGGGTGAGGGAACAGAACAATCTTCTTCCATACTTTAAAACCCTTTCTCTGCTAAAAATGTTATTACTACTGTGTAGCAGTAACGTAGCATTCATTGAACTCATTTTTTACTGTCAGAACAAAGACAGAACTCCAGAAATGTTAACTGAAGTCTTTACAACCTACACAGTAAACTTTAAATGAGATTTTTCGTTTTTCATTATTTTAACTAATGTATCTCCATTTACTTTTTATCTGGTACCTTACTTAGCAAGCTAATGTAAGACTTTGACCTAATGTACTCCATGCCCTGAAAATATTCTGCACCCTCATGTCTTCAGCACACTACTATCTTTCCTCTCAGTGAGCTTCTAAAGTGCTTAGTCACTTATTTCCATCATCATGGTGGCTCGATCCCCTTGAGCCTCTTTCCAGCAAATTGTTGAAGTAGAGAAGCCTGAAAAACATGCAAATGAGCACCAGAGAACAGGTCTACATGCAAGCTAATTGCAGCCTGTGGACAAAGTGCCTGCCGCTCTTGGATGTAGTTAGGTCTTAGACACCTTTTGATTAGCATAAAGTTACCTGAACTCCCCTCAAGTCTTGACATATGAATGGAAAAGAATTAGATTGTAAAATTTACAGTAACACTGTGGGTTGAACAGGGAATTTCAGTTTTAAAGTGCATTTAATTGTATTTCTGAAGCAGATATTAAAAATCTTAGTCAGGCTGTACATATATATATATGTCAGTCTGTATGTATTTATTAGCTTCCCATTTGACTTTTGTCAGATGTTATCTTTTTTAATCTGGACAGTAAAGCGCATTACTTTTAATGGTGTGCAAAACATTAATGATAAATCGCTAAGCAGCAATCTTAGTAAATGTCTTTAAAATGGTCTTTAAATTGGAAAAATTATGTATGGTGTAGCCATGAGTAACTCTCTGGGATTTTACAGCTTGAGTGAATAAGTACTGTGTTACCTACTCAATTGAATGAGCTAGTACTGTATGTATTACTCCTTGAACTGATTATCAGGCATTTTATAAACAAGTTAGCCATGTTGATAACATACAGGTGTTTTCTTTCACTTTTAGTTAAAATATGTCTATTTGTTTTCTGGTCTTTTCAGATTTATGTACTGGTCAGACTGGGGGACACAGGCCAAGATTGAGAAGGCTGGGATGAATGGGGTGGATCGGCAGGTGCTGGTCTCAGAGAGAATTGAGTGGCCCAATGGAATTACTCTAGGTAAACGAGAGGATGGTGTACAAATGTTGGGTTTAATTTCATCGTCTGTTTTCTTGAAATTAAAATATATTGCTGCTATTGGAAGAAAACCTTGTATCTCCATTTTTAAATTTCTTGATGAATGGATCAAAAGAAATGGCCCAAAAATGACTTGGAAAAACGTCTGGTTCCATTGACTTGCATTAAAAGTAAAGTATGTTTTTTCCTTCTCCTGTAAAGTTACCATTTTGGAGATACAAGGTTTTCTTCCGACAACAGCGATATGTATAATTTCACTGAAAAATACCTGAAGATGCAGAAATTAAGATAAAATAAAGCCACGTGGTGGAGCAAAGTGTGACATATTAAAAAAGGATTGGTTTTGTTAATTTACTGTAATTATGGGCGCTGCATAAAACACGGATGCCCTAAAGTTATCTTAGCTTTATATCTATCTGTCTTTCTATCTGTCCATAAATTTTACCTTTTACACCAAATCTGAAAGGTGCAGTATCTCCACCACAACTCATTAACAAATGAAGTGCCCCAGATCAGTCTGATGGTGGCAATATAGCGCATTGTTTTACAATTTGACCATTTGATCTTTTAAACCTTGAGTTGTATCAAAAAATGTATGTATCAAATCCTTTATATCTTAGATTCATTTTCTTATGCCAAAGAAAAAAAGCCTTAAGGACCAAGCACGTCTACCATATTGAATTTCAAGCTAATTTGCATAATATATAAAACCTGCTTTTGCAAACTAGTTCTAGTGTTTTTGCGCATTTTGGCAATGAATTGTAACAAAAAAAATCAAACAATTTAATTTCAGTGCTGAGTTAGGGCTATATCTGACCTGCCTGTGTCCTAGTTTACAATTAAGAAGGGGATAGAGACATCTAATGAGAGAGAGAGAAACAATAAACCTAACAGAGATGACAGAAGTCTGGCACAAAAAAAGCAAGAGAGAAGAAAAGTATGCTAATAATAAGAAGCAGTCTCCAGTGGCCAACAAGGCTTTGAATCATTTGCCATCTCTGCTTTTCATCAATCACCAGCCAGTATAAGAAAAACTAAATGGAATTGCACAAGTATTGCTGTCAATATTTTCATCATTTTTCTGACTCTCTAAAGCAGGAGGCTTTTTGAAAAAGCAGTCATGGTAGATGGATAAAAAAAGAGATGCCAGTGAAAGTGTGAAATTCACTGTTGCTGTGTCTGTATGAAAACAAGTAGTTTGTTCAAAGGAAAAGTACAAAGTAATTCTCTTTTCTTGGAGCTTCTATGCATTTTTATATTGTGTGTGTGCGTGTGTGTGTGTGTGTGTGTTTTCTTTTGCCATTGATTCTTAACACAGTTGAAGTCCCGGATTAGGTTTGAGATGTCCGCTACAAACTGTGAAAAAACGTTATATACTACCCTGGCCATTTCCGTACTTTGGTGTTAAAATGAATTCCTGTATTATAATCTTTATTCAAATTCTTCTGTCTGTCTGATTTGAATAGATCCTTTATACTGTTTCAATATTCCTGCCAGATTTATCCAGCAGACGTCTGTACTGGGTGGACTCTAAGCTCCATCTTATCTCCAGTGTGGATCTCAATGGGGACAACCGCAGAGTTCTACTCTCCTCTATGGACCATTTGGGTCACCCGTTTGCCCTCACCCTGTTTGAGGTAAGTCATTCATCTGTTAGAGACACATATACCCAATCTAAATAATAAAAAGAGTTGTGTACAGTCCCAACTCCAAAATCAGTGCATTAATTTTACTGGAGCTTATCTTTCACATTCTTTCTCAGTTCTGGGTGTATATGTGCAAAAGCTGGTGTCCTCATATGCCAGGCTGTCAAATAGACATTTCACCTGAAGGAAGCTGTCTGCAGAGGATGATAGTTTATATTAAGCAACCTGGTTGTGACACCTTTGAAAGGCCTGGTGATGGATATTCAGAGACAGATGGTGCATTTCCTTTAGTCAGGCCTGAAAGCAGAAGCCCCACTGCAGGCAGATGGGCTAGGCCTTGTGAATATAATAAGCAGAGTGGCTTGTCAGCTTCAGCTGTTCTTGTTGAAGCTCAGTGGTTTTTACACTACGTTGGAGGTTCTTACACAGCTCAGAGCTCAAGAGATGTTAGTAATTGAGGTCTGGACCTGTAGCTGTTTCTGATCAAGCTGTTTTATAATGATCTGTTTTACAGTCATGGAGTCTGTTGAGTGTGATTTGTCACTGTTTTATTGATCACTGTGACACTGTAAAGTAAGATACAAGAACATATTTCAGAGAGTGAGCTGAGTGTCTGAATACCTGAATCTGTATATAAACAGACGAGCAGTGTGACAGTGTGTCCTGAAAATTACTGTCCTTGAAAAGTTGTGTGTATTTTATTGCTAAACTAGATATAAGGGGTTGCTGGTTCAGGAGTTGGGCTGCTAGTAGTGCTGCAATGTTATGAATCTATAGAAAACTGCCAACTGTTTTCTCATGAGGCACAGGGTTTAAAAGGCACAGTGAAATAATGGAGCCATCAAGAAGCTTGAGACAAAACAGGAAATGAAAGTTTAGTGATGAAAAGGTAGCTTTGTTAATCAATGAAGTTCTACAGGGATGTAATTCTGCTCTCGCTAAGAAAACAGCATTTGTGAAATGATAGCAAGGACTGTGTAAGCAAGGACTGTGTAAGCAAGGGCTGAATGATTGGGGAAAAATATCTAATTGTGAGTTTTCTGACCAATGTTGCAATTGCAATTTTAATGTAATTATTTTCTGTAAATTAAACTCCAGGATTTTTTTTTTACCAACAAGACTGTCACAAAACAAGGCTGTCAGTTGACAACCTGTGTGTGATTAGAACTTACTGAGACAACGCTGAAAGTCGTGTAATGCGAAAACAAAATTTTGGCCTTCAGGTTTCCATTTACCTTAAGTGAGCTTCATAAAATCTCTTCAGTTAAATGATTGAGTGGAAACTCAAAAAAATGTATAATTGTAAATTCATTTCAGTTTCAGCACTTAAAATTTGACAGTTGCAAAATGTAGATCTACATTTAAAGCTGTAACCCTAAAGCATTTAACTTAGTATAACTTAGGATTTTTTATACAAATGGCCATTGGTCCTGAGAGTGTAAACAGTGTTATTCTGAAGGTAAACCTTCTTTCAGCACATTTGAGGCTCATGTCTCCATCTAACTGTTCTGTATGCTGCCATTGTTAAAGGAAGTCTCTCAACAGCACGTCTTTTGAGACCTTCGTGCAAACTTACGCCTGGTTTTAAAAGGTGGAGGAAAAACCCAGCGCTGGAAGTTGCTCATAAATCGAGTGGAATATGTAATCAGTCACATGTGTAGTATCTCCAATGATTTTTGCCTCCCCTCAACATGCATATCCATGAGCAAGAGAAGCGCAATTTACATATAACCATGCACAGTTAGTTTTCGGGTGCCAGTTTTGAAACTGGCACAACATTCAGACCCTCTGTTTCTCAGCCTCTCTGTCTGCCTCTCTCTCTCTCTCTCTCTCTTTCTCTCTCTCATCATTCTCTTGCTTGCTATCTCTCAAACACAAAATATCCACATATACTGACAAACGCACACACACACACACACACACACACACACACGCACGCACATAATAATACACTCACACATAAACATACATATCTCCTTGTGAACAGCATGCAGTGGTTAGAAATGTTGTTGCTCGCTGGGAGAGCACCACAGCCCAGTAGATGAATGGCCCTGGGTTGCTGGCAGCAGCTAAAGACACAAACCAAATTAAAAAGCCTTTACAGGCAGGCAGGTCCAGAGAAGCTGTGAGGCAGGACCCAGCCCAGGCCATACATCACCCTCTGCCCCAGACAGGCCAGTCGATGAGCCAGCTCAGCACAGGGGCACCCAGGGGCCAAGCCCCGCAAAGAGGAAACAATGTGTTTTCCTCTTTTTCTTTAACTTTTGTCCTTCATACTTGAGAAATGAGATGCCATGCTGCTGATGCACCCCTGAGGCTGCTCCTAAACTACTGCTAAAGTTCTCCACTGGGTCGTGCTCAAATGCTGTTGGAATATCTGCAGCCGTAAGGAGAGATTCTAACGATAGCTTCCTGCTGCTTTCAACAGCCTTTCATTTCCTTTGTAGTGTTATATAGATGAGAGTAAGAGTCCACTGTCAAGAATAGATGCTGACATAGGTGTTCAAGCCTACATTTGGTTTACATTCTGCAGTTTTGGAAGTTTTTTTTAAGCTTGAGCTACAAAAGCAACCTTGTTCTGTTTTAACTTCATTAGCACGCCGTCGCTTCACATATTCTATTTTTAGTTAGTAAAACATTGTTGCTGTCATAACAAAACCTTGTATATCGAAAACAATAACTTTACAGAAGAAGGAAAAATTTCATGTAATGAGACTTTAATTTATGATTTCTCAATGTAATGAGATTTTATTCCAAGTCGTTTTGGACCATTTCCAGTGATCCATTCATCGTAAAATGTGTACATAACACAGCTGGCATTTTCAGATGTGCACAGTAATGTGCAAAACTCCTTGACCTCCCTTCATTTACTTAATTTCCAGGTAAAACGTTATTTGTTTTTCAATGTCAGGTGAAAAAGCATACATATATACGCTTGCACACAGAAGCCTTTTGTGGAGGTGTGGATGTTTTTACACACCTCCAAAGTTCAGTCTTAGAAGTTGGTTGAATTCAATGATATTTAGGTCTGGGCTCTGGGGTGGTCAGTCCATTGTTCTGAGAACACCAGCAGCTTCTTTGTTTGATTCGCACATTTTCTTCTTATTTGTCTGTTTTCTTTTCTCAGTAAGAGTTTCTTGACAGCTACACATTCAGACCCATAGTGTTAAGTTGTCTTCTCACAGTGAAAGCATGGACAGAAACACCTGTAGATTTTTTCATATCTGAAGCAAGAGTGGATTTTCTTGATTTTCTCCTCTCTCTCAAAGAAGAAAGCTGTAAGTTCTGTTTATCTGATGGTAACAGTTTTAGTGGTCGATGAGGTCTTGCAAGGTTGTTAGGAGTCCCTTTTTGTATCTTTTAATAATTTTTTGGAAACACTTTACTGTAGGGTCCTGTGAATAAGGCTACATGAGACATACACAAGCTTGTTATGACAGGTGACATCACCCTGCATAAATGATTATAAATGTTTAGTTCAATAGGCTATTTATCTTTCATGACGGCTACTTAAGCTAACTTTGATCAAAATTGGCAGATGTAATGTCTAAAACGTTTGCATGATACTGTACAAACAAATGACAAAAACAAAAAGGCTACACAGTTTTGATATGACAGCAACAACATACAGAACATATGAGAGTTTTACCTTTCTTAAGACAAACATATACCAAAATTGGTAAGGGGTGGTTTGCATTTGAGACTTTAAGTACCTTTCAGCTGTTCCACTTCTGTTTTGCAGCACCAGTAATGTTCAAGGCGTGTGGTGGAAGACATCTCAAACATGCAAATTACCACTATTTCTTATTTGGGGACCACCTACAGGGCTTGTTTCTCAAACCAAGCCAAACCTTTTATTAAATAAAGAACTGAAGGAAAACTCTCGTTTCATTACAGGAGCGAAACTGCAGGTTGTGGATCTTAATTACAAACTTACTTTCTCAGCAAAGGTTAATACTGCCGTCATGGGAGGATGAGAGATGTCTCAGTGGTCAGGGCTGCATTTGAAGTGTGATGAAGAGAGCAGAAGGGCGGGTCCTGCTGATAAGTCACAGAGAGCAGCACCTGCTGAAGCTCCAGAGGGAGGCACAGGGCTGACCTTTCAAAAAGCTGCCCCTAGTAAACAACTTCTAATGCAGCGACTCTGAGCGTCCTGAGCAAGAGTGTGTCTCCCAGCCTTGTTTTCATTCATACTCCCTCAGCCTACCCAGATCATCTACTTCCAAATCCGCGGGGGGAAAAAAAAACAGCGTGAATGTCTGGTAGTCATAGTAACGGCCCCGTCTGTGCACTGGTTTGTGGGATTGCTGGATAGGCTGATATGGGGTGTTCAGAAGCGAGAGAGAGTGAGACAAATAGAATAGGAGAGAACGGTGGAGGAGGTGTTGTTTCTCAGACAGGCATGTGCGACTCTCGTAGACGCGAGTAAGAGATAACAGCGTAAGCTCTAATTAGGCTGATGAAAAACCTGCGGCGTGATCAAAACGATTTTTCACTGAGTCTTGTCTCTTTTTCTCTCTCACACTCATTCAGACATGCACACAACTCCTCACCATCATACACACACATTCTTCTTATTAATTTTGAGCCCCTCTGTGTCCTTCTGTATTGTGCTTTCTCTCTGATTTTAGCAGCTCGTGCCAGGTGCCTGCATTCTCATCATTTTCTCTGCTTTCCTTCTCCATAAGCCTGTCCATTCTATTCTGTCTACACTCTTATGTTCCTACACAAGGCATCTGTGCCCACACTGTTGAAAAAACACCTACAATTTGTCTAATTTGAATTGAAGTGGCAGCTTTCGTCTTTGGCTAATCTGTCGCAAAAGACCACATGCATTTCATTAAGGTGTGATCAAGCATTTTTACTTTATCAAATCACTGCTCATCAAAAAAGTGTAATTCATAGGAGCATTAATGTTTAATCTAAAGGTTTTCTGCTTGGGTTGAGTGTTTTGGGTGCACCGTGCTATGCAGGTGCTATACAGTATGATTGCAATTATGATTTTTTTGTTAGTGTTTGAGGTTGTTGTGTCTGTGAAAAGGATCTGTCTCTATCACCATTTTCTCACTGCACAAAGAACTAGAACTGTGCTTTTTCCATTGGCGATAAGTCTAGTACTAAAGGTTCCAGTTGTATGTTTCTGTTTGTTTGTTTTACCTGTTCAAGTTTGGTACCAACAGGCCGTTACATTATGGCTAACATTAATGTTTGGTTACACATTCAGATAAAAGCCAGCCCAACACTAATACATGACCAATACGTACACTAATGTAGACTAGAATATGGTATTACTTTGTTTGCTAAGGTGACAATAGCTAGTTACGAAGCTAATGCTATTTGCATTTATCCTAGCCTCCATAAGTGATTTGCTTATTGGTCATATTTTCAGACTCAATAGACAAATATAAGCTTTGTTTGATTCTACACAGTGTTCAGTGTACTTGTAAACTTTTTATGAATGCAGAAAATAGCATAGTAAACTAGGCAGCTGATGCATAAGTTACAATTCTGAAAAGGAGAAGCTTTAGTTGACTCTATACATGCATCTGTGTAAATGTAGACAATTTTGTGCATATTTGCACACAACACCAAAGGCCAGGTTAAGCTAACTAGCAAGAAAGTTGGCTAATTAGCCAAATTAGATGCTTTAGTGTGAAATAAAACAAATTGTTTATCGTGGTTGTATGACTGCTCCATTTGTCTCTTAAACAGGTGGAAAATGAACTTAAATTCTTAAGTCTTGCTGGTTGGATCATTTATGGTTTTTGAATGTGCAGTGCATAAACTCACAATCACACCACAGAGATGTTTACATTTTTGGCTTAGCTGTTGATTTAATGCCACTTTTTTCATCTGTAAGCTAAATGTTTTATAAAAGAGGCTTTTCCTTATTTCTCAAGTACAGTAATTTCCTGTCCAGCGCTGAGTCTGTGTTTTCTTTTTTCTAGGACCACGTGTACTGGACGGACCTAGAGGATGAAGCCATCTATAGTGTCAATCGGTTGACTGGGCACGACGTGGCCATGCTGGCACAGCACCTCAACAACCCGCTGGATGTGGTGGTTTTTCATGAGCTCCGGCAGCCCCAAGGTCTGTCTCACTGTATACAGGCAGCTGTTAACTTTCAAAGAGTTTTACATTTTTTACCTTAGGAAAGTAATGCTAAGTGAGAAAGTATGAAGAGCTGAGAATAAAATTCAGCCTGTGAGTATCTCCAGTGGATCAGAGTGTAATATTCATGAACCTCTGCAAACCAAAACCCATACACTGAATATGCTTCATGAGGAGCAGGGCTAAAGTGAAATATTGCTCAATAAGAAAGCGTACAGTGCCCATTTCAGAAGGAACTTACCAGTCAAAATAAAATAATCCTTGTACTTTGTCCTCTCCTTTTGTGGATAAAGGGGGATTTGCTGTTTTTATATTGTGTATATGAATCTCTACTGTTTCCAGTGTCTCTTTCTCTTTTATCACTCACTTTCTCTCACACTTTGATGGTGGGTACGTGTGTGTGCCTGTCTGTATGTTGGTATATCAGTGCTGAGGGAGGGTGTGAACGTTTTCTGTTTTCATGTTTTGAATGCTGTGAAGCAGATGGTTATAGATGGAATCTCTTCATTTATGCACCTTCTCTGTGGATTTTGCACAATCCCTCTGCCTGACTATATTTAACCGCTTTCTAAGCAGTAGAGCCCCGCTACGTCTCTTTGTGCAGATGAAAGTGTCTTTGTTGTAACCCAGTCCTGAGAGCCCTGTTAAAAGAATAAGGAGCTCTCCGAAGGGTCAGTTATATCTCAAAAGGGGTTGCTAAGAACATTTAGAGGCCGAATTGCATTCTTACAGTGCTCAAAAACTGCTTGTGGTAACAGTAGCCTTATATTTTCTCCTTATTTCTGCTGCCATTCCAGCCCTCTTATGCTGATGTTTAAAGATGTACTTACTCTCTTATGCTAACAGTGCTGAGCACACAGTTCCCACAGCTAATACAATTAGCATACGCTCTGCATTTTTCCCTCCCAGCTCCAGACAGCTGTAACATGGGAAGTCTGCCCAACGGAGGCTGTGAGTACCTGTGCCTCAGAGCTCCTCAGATCACCGAGCATTCACCCAAATACACCTGTGCCTGCCCTGATGACGCAGAGCTGGGTCCAGACATGCGCCGCTGTGTCACAGGTAAGCCCACTAAAGAGCCTGATACAAGGCTGCTCACAAACAAATCTGTTAAAATAACACATTGTATTTATTTTGGAACACCTGTTACCTTTTGTGTTACTTTTATCACAACCAGTGATTTCTCCATTTATAACAAAGATATATTCTAATTTCATAATCTTCTGTCACCTGATAATATGAAAAAAGTGATAATACAAAAAGTATATTGTTCATTAAAGCATGATTTTTAAGGTCCCACAGGTTTATCGGCTGCATCAAAAATCCCATAGATGGATCACTGGCATATTGCTTTTAAGTAGTGGTAACACAGTGTCTTGTTAATTACAATGTAAATAAAATATAGTTTTAATTTCAAATTTAAGCTTTTAGTCTTATAATTCTAAATTAGTCTTATAAGTCTAAATTTGAAAACTCTAATGCTGTTTAGGATTAGAGTTTTCAAATCTGGTTGTGTTATTTAAGTGTAACCTTGATGAAACCATTCTATTGTTCTAATACATCTTACTGCAGAAGTTTTAACAGCTACTAGCTCCTAATCGCAGTAACGTTATTAGTCATTGTTATTCACTCCCACTCAGAATTGAGAGGAAAGAGGAGAGGACGTGTGGGTGACAGAGGAAAGGAGATTTATTTATTTATTTATTTTAGCAGAGTGGGACACTACATTGAGACTGTAGAGTTGGAGCAGAAATAGCTGGAGTTGGTGTAGTTTTTCATCAAAGAAAAAGGATAAAGCACAAATTCAGGCCTCCTGACTGCCTGCAGTGCAGCCTCTGAGTGTGTGTGTGTGTGTGTCTGTGTGTTTGTCTCCACAGCATTTAGAGTTGTACACAGTGGCCAGGCTAAATGATTGCATATAAGTGTATTTGCATTCAAACAATGTTACATTACATAATCTTGATTATCTATGAAAAACACAATGCAAGCAAATCTCAAACAGTTATTCGCACAAATGGTGTAGATTTGCACAGTACAGTACTGTGCAAATGTCAAAGACCACCATTTTAATTTTAATCAGAAAAAAAAGATATATTTAACAAACATTACACAGAATACTCAACAACTAAATATAATATCAGTTTCAGTATTTAATGTGTCCACCCTTTGCCTTTATTACAGATTCCATTCTTTTCAGCAGATTTGGTTTCAGTTTTTCAAAGAGATCTGCAGGAATATTTTTCCACACCTCAAAAGTTCAGTCTTTGAAGTTGGTTGCATTTTCTGCTTCTTACAGTCCAAGTAATTGTCAACACATACAATGATGTTGAAGTCTGTCGTCTGGGGTGGTCAGTCCATTGTTCTTTTCAAACTCATAGTGTTGAGTTGTCTTCTCCCAGTGGAAGGATGGACAGAAACACCTGTGGATTTTTTCAGATCTGAATCAAGAGTGGAGCTTGATTTTCTCATCTCTCTTAAAGAGAGTGGATTATTTTCTACCTAATGAATAACTTGTAGTTAATGGCTATTATGATTGGAAATTAAATATATGAAATGTTATCCATGACTTCTGCACAGTACTGTTATGCATTGTTCATGCATGTAATATTCTTTCTTTTCCTCTGTTCTCCTTTTCACTCTCTCTTTTCTTTCTCTCTCTATACAGTGGTAAAACCCAAGACTACAACCACTACACCTTCCACTACTACCACAACAAGAGTAACTCCAAACATCACTTCTGTCTCTACATCTACCACCACCACAACTACCACCAGTACAACCAGCAGTACTACCACCTCTACGACTCCAACTACAACTGCTGCTGCTGTCACATCTGCATCTCACATCTCACCTCATAAAACCACGCACAGTACCACAGCTCCAAATCCGTCTACCCCGCTGTCTTCTACCACCACGCATTCATCTCCAACTTCATCCTCTACTACAAGCAGCACTCAGACCAGCAGCACCCAGACCAGCAGCACCCAGACCAGCACCACGCCACAATGGCAACAGCATACCTCCACCCAAAGAACAGCAGACAGCAGCCAGACGACTAGCCCAAGCACAGTCTCCCAGAGTGACGGGGCAAAAGGCGAGAACAGCAACCTCTCGCACCGCGGTGAGTGACCTGTCTGGGTGGGTGGGTGTGCAGCAGATGCAGGGCTTTAATCCTTTAATAATCATGATGACCACTAAATACCTCTCCCCTATTTGAGGGCACAATGCAACAGTGCAGCAGAAAATATATAAGATGCAGAATTAGCGATAGCCAACCTCATGAGTAGTAGGGTATATGTGTGCGTATGTACATTTCTGTTTATACATTTTCAAAACGTTGTACATTTACATATCCTAAATTTTTGGAAAAAACAGATAAATTCAGAGGTAACGTACAATGTTAAAACCAAAAAGAACTTGTGCTATTTTTTCAAAATCTGCAAATTCACATTTAAAAGCTGAATGGATAAAACCAGTTTGGCTAAGAAAACGTTTGTTACATTCATTTAGTTAACTTGGACTTAACGGCCATTTTAACTGGGAATTAAATAAATGAAGTCTCTGACTTTTGTGCGGTACTATACATGAGACATATGAATATCACCTCCTCACAAGGTATAAAAACAAATGCGTGCATGCAGATAAGTAAATATGTTGTGCATATCTGTTTCTGTATGCGCCTTTGCAGCATTTGCCTCTGAGTATGTTTGAATTATTCCATTTCCTCTATCTCTCTTTGGAAATCTTGCATCAAGTTAAACAAACCTCCAGCTTGTTCTGTACATTAGATATGGAAATGTGATCGAGTTCCTGACTGAGCTGCATTCCCTGCAGCAGCAGAAGGAGTTCTCAGCCTCTGAAAGTTAATGTGTGTGGGAGAATTTGCTTGCTGAGCAGTGCTTGGGCCACTTGAGGGTGATAGATTAGGCTGTGGCAGTAGTTGCAGGTAGCAGCGTGCCTCTATGCTGAATTAGGGCAGGCAGTGGAGGGAGAGGAGCAGCCAGGCTTGACTGATGAACACTGCCCTGGGCCCTGTTCCCCTCCGCTCCCCTCTCATCCCCTCCACCCCCACCCCAGTAAGTGGTCCTGCCCAGCTACACTGACGCCTGGCCCCAGAAGGATGGGGACTGCCTCCTTCTGTGAGATAAAGATGCAGAGGAGGTTGCCTCAGAGAATCTGTCTGCAGCAACTTTTTACAACATCGCTCACACTATATGTTGTGTATATGATGTAAGTTTGTAATCACACAAGTGAGTTACAGGAAGTAAAAAGGTTTGTTTCTGGTGGTTTGTTCAAAGTGATTTATAACTGTGGTTACTATACAAATGAAATAATGTATCCAGTCAAGCACATGCAGTGTGCCTGGATTACAATAACAGTGGAACGCTTTATTTTTCATACTGATAGTTACTCCTAAAGTTTGAAAAGTTGTTTGTCGGTTGTTTGTCGATAGTACTTTTTATGTATCTTTCGAGTGTGGCTGTCTCACCCTGCTCAGCACATTAAATGGAACCATTCTGTTGCAGAGCTATTTTTTACCCACTCAATTCCTTTGCTAGAGCTTGAGAGAACCAGCCTCCCACTCCAACTAAAAATATGGCTGCCTGGATATTTTATCACCATGGAATGGAATATAGCAGAGTTGTAGAATGTGACTTTGAAAAAAGACCCCTAAGGTGAATGATGAATGCTTTAGGAAAACCTGCCACATCGCTGTGCCCATTTCTTAATGACTCTAAACTGAGGACTAGCCGATATATGTCTAATAAAATCATCTGATATTAAGGTTACACGGGCTATCTGTATTGGCTGGAATCCTGCAGATAGGGCACTGATGTATTGCTTCAGTGTTGTTTATGTTGGTAAATGCATGCACACCTCCATCTTAAAGGGAAAAAACACTAATGTATGAGGATTTTAATTTTCTTATATCCTTATACTTTTTTTTTTACAGATACTGCAGTAGGCAGTAACCAGCTGCTCACTTTCATTATAATGCTACAGGCTGAATACCAAGTGCTATCATGACTAAAATAACAAAAACATAAAATGCATACAAATACAACCTTTAGTGTTAGGATAGCATGTTATAATGCAGTGAAACACTGTGTTATGACACTGATGAGAAAAATAAGAAAAATAAGAGCCAATTCACAGAAACAAATAAACTACAAAGAATTCTGGGATGCTCCATCCGGATGCTGCAGTAATTACATTACTTAAGACTTTGTTTAAGAAACAATTAGAAAATGACCGTCGTATTTCTATTATTTCATATTAAATTATATTAGTTAATATAAGATATATACACACACATCATCTAAACCACTTATCCTTCAGAGTTGCAGGGGGGGGTGGGGGGGGCAGCTGGAGCCTATCCCAGCTGTCACTGGGAGGAATTCAGGATACACCCTGGACAGGTTGCCAGTCCATCGCAGGGCAGACAGACATACATATACACACACACAGTCACACCTAGGGGCAATTTATCGTGTCCAGTTGGCCTGACTGCATATCTCTGGGAGGAAACCCATACAGACATGGGGAGAACATACAAACTCCACACAGAAAGGATGCTGGTTGAACCCAGGCCCTTTTTCCTATGAGGCAACAACACTACCCACTGCGCCACCCTATAATCTATATAATCTGTTAAAATTTTAATCTGTGTCAGTGATAAAATTTTCATATTGGCCCGGTCATCCTTTAAACAGTCAAGATAAGCACTTCAGGGTAAGGAGATTTCTCTTAACCTTAATTCTGACTAAAGCTGAAAGAAAACACATTTAGATGGAAGGAGAGCATCACAGGGTTAACAGTGTGGAACATGACATGAAGCAGCCAGGGGAAGAATATGGTCTGGGTTGTTAAAAATTAACCTGTGTGCTAACATTAGCATCATCTGTTACAAGTAACTGAGATTGTACATGAGAGGCAGAAGGAAAGCAGACAGTCAGCCTTTACAGCAGGAAAGACTAGCATGAGTGAGTTCAAATAGCATCCCCAAGTTACACTGGAGGTGTTTAAAGGGATATTGGAGTATATAGACAGACCTCAGAGGGTACTTGAGCACCTGCCCTTTTGCCCTTAAACTGTACATCAGCATGTGTAACAGTTATGTTTTATATGGGCACCTCAGGAATAGAGCTCGTGGGTCAGCTTGAGTTCCACAAGCTCTGTTGCTCTTGGGCGCCTCCTTTCTGGTGCAGTACTGCTTGTGGAGATTTCACCTCAAAAACTCTGACCTATCGAGCATGCATGCAACACCACATCACTGAAAATCCCAATGATAAAGCACTGATAACTTCAGCGTCACATTGCATATTTTGGTAATTTTCATCACCAAAGTATAATGTTTGTATGAAGGGGCATTAATAACTTTGTAAACTAAGTTTTGTTATAATGTAAAAACAGGAATTTATCCCAAGCTCTGTTGACTTCTTATAGCTTTTATGTTGGCGGTTGAGTGTCAAATGCCTTTTTGGGCTTTTTTGTCTGCCTTGAAAAGCTCTAACACTGGTTTTTGAAAGATTATTACACTATCTCTCTTAATAAGGGCGTCTGCAATATGGTGTAAATTAAATTAGGTTACCCTTTTCCTGTTCAGCCCCTGCTCCCAGAATGTCTGAAAATAGGCCTGGCAGCCTATGTGGTTGAATATGAGTCTCTTCTGACTGGCACCCCAACCTCTGGATTCAGTGATATAATGGGGATGCTAAATAAAGGTTAAGGTGAGGAACACTGGGGATATTAGAATGTTGGGCTGTTGTAAGTTTTGCCTGTGTATGGTGTAAATGTAGATATGATATATCTGTACTTATTTTAAACATAAAAATTGGTCACAAAATAGTACCATCCGCCTGATTCTTCGGTCATTATTCTAAATATTCCTCTAGTAACATCTTGCATGCCCTGAATATTGTTGTGTCTTTCACTCAATAAGCTTTTTCATACACTAAGCACTTTCTTGTAGGGTTATCAGGCTTTATCTGTATGCTTGTGTCGTCCCCTCTAGTTCTCTTAATCTCTGGGCTCAGACTCCATTATCAGAAGCTAATTGTGTTTTGGATAATGGTGGCTGTATGTGCTAATTGTAGGATTTATTTGCTGGGAGTGTCTGTGCTTTGCAGAAACCTGACTTAGGAGAGAGGACTGGAAGTAATAATTTCTCAGTAAAATTGTGTGTGTATGTGTGTTTGCGAGTGAAAGAGATGCTGTGTGACCGAGAGATTGAGATTTTGGTACACTGCCAAAGCAAATGGCTGCTGTGCTCCGTGGAGTGAAGAGAAGGATGCAGCCGTCCAACAGAGCGGGAGAAATTAACGACCTGCTCTTACCTCAACCTCTCAATTGCTCTACTTTGTCCTTCCTATGCTGTTAATGTGCCATTCTTTTTTCACTGTATTAAATGTAAAGTCATACTTTATTGTTAGGACTATGTGAGGTGCAATGCTTTTTACATAAATTTAGAGTTATGAGTCAGTGAAGCAGTAGATGATGAGTGCTCTCATCAATTAGGATATAACGACATGACTGCCCCCCCCCAACGACACCATCACACACTCACATTGCACCCCCCCTCCACCCCCACCCCCCTCTCTCTCTCTCTGTCTGCAGCTGCAAGTGATCACTTCCTCCTGGGTAACAACATTACTGTAGCAGTTCTGGGTATTGTCATCCCCATAGGTAAGTATTGATGCTCAGTATGAATCCTGCATGTCTCTCTTCCTAATCTTCTGCACATCTCTTGCCTTTGCTGTGTGTTACCCACATGCTTTAATGATATTTTCCTCAGGAGAGTCCTAAGTAGCCATTCATAAGGAAACAATGCTATTGGCTGAAGTGCAGTTATTAGAAAGGGTTTCTTTGGACTTTTCAAAGGGAAATTTTGGGCATGCTTTTTGCAATGTTATATTGTCCTATAAGTGAATGTGGGGTCCCTTTTAGACAATGTGCCTGAAGTTTTTTTCGCGCTAATTATTCAATAGTAGATAGAAGTGTTAGCTCTCTCAAACATAATGTTTGGTGGGGGGGGGTTCCTTTAATGTTATTGCTTTATACGTATAGATAGTTTAAGATCCTGGCCATAAATAGCTTTACCCAAACCAACTTTCCAAATTTCTCATTTGCTCAAAAAGCTAAATGATGTCAGAGGTGTATCATTTTGGTAAAAATACACACTTAAACCGCACACTTAATCTATATAGAGCCATGAGCACTCAAAGAACCCTTTGCATGATTAAAGGGCTGTTTGCATAGTGAAAGCGTTCTTGAGATTAATGGAGAATGTGTTGTAGATGGTTCTATAAAGAACCTTTTTGAAAAGGGTTCTATATAGCATCAAAATGGGTTCTTCTATTGTAACAAGCAAGACATAACAGTAGAAGAACGCTTTTTGGTGCCATATAGAACCCTTTTCAAAAATTTCAAAGATTTTTATATCAAAAACGCAATTCAAAGAGCGCAATTTTTAAATAGCAAGAACTGCAATTGTAATTCTATGTAGTTTATATATATATATATATATATATATATATATATATATATATAAACTACATGGAAATATCATGGAAATAATATAATGTAACTAAACTAAACAGAATTTTCAAGAAAAAAGATGAAAAGGCAGAACTGCGATATTCTTGATGCATAGCCAGTAATGAATGCTGATTGCCATCCACCTTGCTGAGTGTGAAGATGACCTTGTCCGAAGCAACCGAACACTCACATGATGCGTACATGACAACACAACTATCTGGCTATCTGGCATACTATGTTAACCGTTCAAACCTTAAGCCAGAAGAAGTGGATATTCTGGTCTTTTTGTCCAAAAACTAAATATAACTGAATTGGACTTTACACACACAAACACATATTCTCTAAGCCGCTTATCCTTCTGGGACAGGGTGCTGGAGCTTATCCCAGCGGTCATTGGGTATAAGGCAGGAAACACCCTGGTAAGGTTGCCAGTCCATCACAGGGCAGGCACATAGACATCCTCATTCACACCCATGGCCAGTTTTTCATCTCCAACTCACCTAACTGCATGTCTTTGGACTGTGGGATGAACATGCCAACTCCACACAGAAAGGACCCTGGACGCCCAGGCAGGGAATCGAACCCAGGCACTTCTTGCTGTGAGGTGACAGTGCTATGTACTGTGCCGCCCAAATCGGGCTATAATTTGTAGAAAATAATCTCAGGCACTATACTGGTCTGAGATATCACAATTAAATATTTTTCCCCAAATTGTTTAGCCCTAATCACAGTTCCATTAGGCTGCAGAGCAGTTCCTTTGCTGATGATGGAGTATCACCTTTATCACAGTCAAATAAAACTAAACCATGATCCTGCAATATTCAACTCAAATCTATGGCCTTGAGCTCTGTTATTGAGACAGCATGAGCACTGGGTCTCATGTAACAGCAGTGCTTCACAGTTATGACACTGTTTGTCCTTGATCCTGTATTCGGCTACTTCAGCCATTTGTTCTTTGTAGTATATCAGTTAAATTTACATTGTTGATCTGCATATACGGTTTGTTTTTCCCAAACACCTTAAGTCTCCACTTCAGTCTGATTGCAATTTTTTTTAATTATTAAAACTAAAACTGAATCCAGTAAATAGAAACAAAACAGAAATATCTTCGTATAATTACAAATACATTGCTAAATCTACCTAAAACTGAACTAAATTTTCAAGAAAAATATGAAATAATATAGAACTAAAGACTGATATATAAAGGTAAAACTGATAACCTTGATCCATAGCTGTTAATGAATGCTGATTGCTGATTTCCATCCGCCTTGCTGAGTGTGAAGATGACCTTGTGTTTGCACATGTTCGTAATTGAGGTCACTAAAACTAAAACATCGTCCTTCAAAAACCGATTTTTCAGCCCTTTTTGTAATTTCAGTCCCTCTCTTATTCCTCTTATCTTTGATGACTGTCTTTTTGAGTGCTTAGGCTCGAAACAGACGGTTAGACAGACACTACATTCTAGCTGTGTGGAGCAGTTCTATAGAAGTGGGAGAGAGAAGAAAAACACATCATGAGGAGGTCTCTCGTGTCCCTCAGACAAAAGAGCAATTAAGGGGAACTTCCAGGGGACTAGCACAGGCACTGCTGATCTTTTAAATTAGGAGAGGGGCTAGCCAGCCGCTGCAGTGAAGCCAAGCATGGTTATCGTTTCCTCCTGAATAGCAATGTACTGCACCCCCTCACATAAACACACACACACACACAGCCAGTCTCATCTCTGTCTGTGCCTTCAAGACCTCCAGCATGCACCCCTTTCCCAAAAAGCCATTGTGAATGTGCATGCCTGTTTGCAGCTCTGGCTCTGATATGCTGTTTTTCAGCTCTCTGTGCAGTTTCAGAAACTCTGGCCACTTCTTATCATTTTTCAGGAATAATGCTTAATAATTAAAAGAATAATCCAGCATTTTTCCAACACATCTCTATCTGCTACATTTAAAACTTACTGACTTAGTGCTGTGAAAAAGTATATGCCCCCTCTTAATTTTCTGTTGTTGCATATTTGTCGGATTGTATGCTTGTAGATCTTTAAACAAAATGTAATATTAGACAAAACACATTTTTTTTAATTATTCTTTCATTTATTTATAGAGCACAGTTATCCAACATGCAAATCACTTGTGTAGAAAAAAAAGTATTTCCTTAGTTATTTAAGCAACCAATTAACCAAGTTTAATTGATAAAGAGATTCAGTTGATTGAACACAGTCAGGCTTGAATGCTTCCAGCCCATCAGATTGATTTAGTTGCCACAAATTTTTACAAGCACACTAGGCCATAATCAAAAGAAAATCCAAAAGCTGTTGAAATATGTCATTCAGGGAAGGGTCACAAAATAATTTCTATTTTTAGTTTCTTCCACAGTAAGAGCCATTATCTGCAAACTAACAATCCTAGGAACATTAGTGAACCTTCTCAGGAGTGGCACAGAGCAAATCATCCAGGAAGTCACCAAAGATCTCAGGAGAACACCCAAGGAGCTGCAGCTCTCTCTAAACTCAGTGTTCAGTGTTATTCATGGAAGAGCATAAAGGCAGAAGATATTGCTAGCCACAAGAAACATCAAAGCCCTTCTCACAATTGCAAAAAATCAAAATCCCTAAGCCTTTTGAGGTGATGTTATATTGACAGACTAGTTCAAAATGTAGCTTTTTGGACAAGACATGTCCATTTATATGTTCTGTAAAGCAAGTTCTGCATTTCAAAATAGTAACATCATACTAACATTCAGACATGGTGGCGGTAGCAGGAAGGTGTGGGGATGTTTTGCTGCTGCAGGATGTGGACAATTTGCTATTACTAAATAAACCATGAATTCGGTTGTGCATTAGAAAATTCCTAAGGAATCTGTCCATGAGCTGAAGCAGAAACTGAATCAGGTTAAGCAGAATTATCCAAAACAGAAAAGCTAATCCACATCTGAATGGCTCAAAAAACAAAACTAATGTTACAGAGTGGCCTTGTCAAAGTCCTGACTTCAGCCTCTGTGAAAAAGAGTGGGCTCAAATTCCACAATGGTGTGAAAGGCTCATATCAGATAGGAAATGATAGTTGGAGTTTTTGCTATTAGATCAAGGTCAAGGTCAAGGTCAGTTGTTGTTAGGTCAAGTCAGTTGCTGTTGGGTCAAGGTCAAGATCAAGTTATTAGGGGACAGCTATTTTTCACATGGGTGATTTACATTTTGGATAGCTTTGCTCCTTAAATAAATGAAATAATAAAAAAGTTTAAAAAAAATGTTTTTTGTTTGATAAAGTTCTTTTAAAGTTCTTTTTTCTAATATTGGATTTTGGTTAGAGATCAAAATGCCTTCACTGTGACAAATATGCAGAGAAAATCCAAAAGGTGCAAATGCTTTTCCACAGCACTGTATAATAGGAGCCACTGGACAGTTACTGAATTCTGTCAGCAAATGTTTATGCAAAGTGTGTTTTTGTAGAACGCTTCAGTGAATTCTTCTATCAAAAATATGTGTAAATCAATCTCCAAACATTTATTCTGTACAATTTGTCCTTTCAGAGATAGGACTAGTTTTCCAGAGTGAAGAAAGTTTTGTAATTCATTACCTTTGTGTGAGAGCTTTTGCGGGCTCCTGTCTGATCACACATAAACACTGGAAAAGCTTAGCGAAAGCGATAAGATTCTGATGTAGCAAACAGAGATTTGATTGAAAAATACTGCAATAGAAACTTGTACCGAGAGATCATTTTGATTAATCTGATATTTGAAAGTAGTGGCCATCTCTTTGGAGAAATTTGAAATATTTTACCTGTCAAGCTACTCAAACACCGGAACCACTTTTTGAGCCATCTATGCCAAGCTGCTGTGTGTGTTTTGAATGTGTGTCATGAAGCGCTGCTCTGTGTCCTCTGGCTGTGTTAACGCCCTCGCCGTGTCTGTCGGCTGTGTGTTAAACGCATGCAGTTCCTATCCTTGCCACAGTGGTAATCGGCCTGCTGTGTACCGGAGGCTACCTGGTCTGGCGCAACTGGAGGCGACGCAACACCAAGAGCATGAACTTCGATAACCCAGTGTACCGCAAGACCACGGAGGACGATGACGATGATGAGATCCACATCGGACGCAGCGAGCAGATCGGCCACGTCTACCCAGCCGTGAGTGGCAGCGCCAGACAGCCCTTCATAGCTCTGCCCCTAGGGCCCCCCGATCCGGCTGCTCACTGGTACTCAGGGGCACCCATGTTAGCAAGCACCAAGTGAAGGAAAGGAAAGGTGGTTTAGTGTGGATGAAAAGAGACCAGGGCCAAACCAGACATGGCCAGCACATGCTGATGTTAGGAGAGGAGACCACTCTGCAGCACTAGATACGCACATTGTCATGTTTCTGACACTCAAAAGTGAACACGTTCTGACATGCATCCTTCATCCACCAAATTTTACTGTTTTTTCTATTCACACTTCACCACATTTTCATTCATACATTGTTGGAAGTGAATTTCAGTCTTCTTGTTCTTCCTTTTAGACGCATTTGGTTTTGTTTGGTCTGTGTCACATTATGTGTCTTAGCATTATACTTCTTGTTTGATGTTTGATAACTTGGAAACAGTGATCCTCCCAGAGCCAATATGGCTGAGGTAGGGATGGGTAATGAGCACCTTAGATGACTGGACAATCTTTTTGAGGAAACGTGTTTTGTTTGTTTCAGTGTATATTTGGTTGGATCTTATGGTTCATTCATACGTTGACAGTATCTTAGTAATCACAAGCCTGACTTGTATTTTGCCAGGAAAAAGCAAGCTTAAAGATGTAACGGCCTGAGTAACTTTTAAATTGGGTGGTATGATGGCACGACTTTCTGCCGCAGAGGTGAGATGACCAGGAACAGGGAGGATTGCTCCAGTGTCAGCGTGAGAGTGGGCTCGCCTCCTAATACCCAGTAAAGAGAGAGGATTCTGTGCAGAGTTTGAGCTGTAGGGCGCTCTTCTCCAGTCAGACTGTTAGCTATAAGCTGAGATAGAGTTGTCAGTGGGGCTGGGGGAAGGGGGCTGTCCCAGTGACTGAACAGCAGAACAGGATTCCTTCCAGTGCTCCAGTGGAGCTGTGCCTGGGGGGTGGGGAAATCTGCCTATTGGACATCTCTGAGTCTGTGACTCGTCTTCCACTTGTTTGCCCCAACACACACAAGCACACACACTCTCTCCCTCCCGCAGTTTCTCCATATCTCTCTATTTGTGTTTCTTTCTTTCTTTCTTTCTAGGCCTGTCGTGATCATTAAATTTTAGCAATTACTTGCTTTATAAATAAACATGATTAGAAATTTAACTTTTGAATAAAATTTAAAATTAACTGTCCTTTTTTGTTCATTGTATTCAACTATTAAAGTACAAGACTAAAGTGGCCAAATTGGCTTATTAGCTATATTGCTATGTAGTTGTTACAATACTGTAGACTACAGACACAGCTCAAGCTCAAGTAAACAAATATTACTCATCACTACCCTCTAATGGTGTTATAGCACCAGACAGAATTTAGAACTTTAGTTGTTTTCGTCAGTCCTCTGACTTGTTTTTACATCGTATTGCCTCAATCCAGCAGATAAAAATGCGCCCAATCCACATATGTTTGTGAACACAAACAACTGTGAAAAATAATTGCGGTCAGCTTAAATAACTCTTTCTTTCTTTCTTTCTTCCTTCCTTCCTTCCTTCCTTCTTCCACTCTTTATCCAGCACTGTATGTATGTAACAGTATTTTTTTGTTTGTTTGTTTGTTTTTTATCTGCTCTCTGCAGCGCGTGGCGCTCAGTATGGAGGATGATGGATTTCCCTGAGGCCGTTTTCTCCTTCCCTCTATCCCTCCCTTCTCCCTTCCCTCCCCTCCCTGTGTCCATCCATCCTCACGTCTCGGACCCGTGGTCTCCTGGGGAGACTACACCGCTACACAGGGGGGCACACAGAGAGAGCAGAGGACACAGGCGCTCGCTCTCCATGGCTGAGTGTTACCAGACAAACTGGGTTTGTCTTTTAGTGTCTGTAGAAGCCTGTAGTTGTTCTTTCAGAATCAGCAGTCATTACAGACTAACAATAACCTCTGCTTATTTTTAGCTTCTTTATAGCACTACTCTTACTACTGCCTTTACCCATAGGAACAGTAGTAGTCAATGCTGCTTAATAATGACTAACCTTACAGACATGTCCTATTAGAACTCCTGATGGGGGTTGCTGCAGCGTGCACTGCAGGAATGGCCTGCTGTGTTTCATTAATTAGATGCTAATTTTTTAATTTTTTATTTTTTGGCTGATGTAAACATGCTAAGCCTGTTTGGGGCTGAGCCATGGATGCAGAAATGGGTATCCTTGTGGGCATGGCTGTGCCAGAGGCGAATAACACAGGAAACAGCGGGACACAGCTCAGGGGAGGGGACGGTGGCTAATCTGCTCTATTGGCATGAGATGTTCATAAAATTAACACTGAATGGGGATGGAGGGCATGGAATTTGCATACACAATGTATGTAAAATTCTGATGCAAACAATTGAGACGGTCTGAAGTGATATCTTATATGACGATGAAATTATTTGTTTGCTATTGTGAACAGGACCAAGTAACCAGTAAGTAAGTCCTGAAAGTTAATGTTTTTTTCTTGCAGCAATCTTCCAGTACCACATCAACTGTACTTAGATGTCTTCCATACATAATGGATCCAGGCGTAATCTTTCATGATTATTTAACGTGTCATATAAGGATCTGGAGCAGGAAAGGAAGACAGTTTCCCATACTGTACGTGTCTTTTTCTTCAGCACACCAGCACTGGGTCTTCCATGTCCCAGAGCTCGCTACTCCTGAGCTCTTCCCAGCCTAATCATCTGCAGGGATAAAAAGCATCTCAGTACTCCTGCATAAGTTTCTGTTACCAGTTTAGTATATGATTTTTAGTTTTACCTCAGTCATATGTTATTGTGCACACATAAAGGAATAAGGTTGATTGTTTGAAAATCAGCCCTGAAAACAGAGTTGATTGTGATGTGATTTGTTCTATGACCAAAACTCTGTCACATCTACTCCTCCTGCCTGTATTTAGCTGCTGAAGATGACACTAAATACCACGTGGTATGACTTAATTGTACAAAAGATTAATCATAGATACTGTTCTCTGACTATCCTCTCAGCCATATGAGCTTCCTGCTCATATCCGGGTCTATCATGCTGAGCCCATCCGGTACGGTCCACAAGATGAATGAGTGGTCATTTATCTCTGTACCATTTCATCTTTGGAACACTGCTCAGCTGATTGGACACCTGTAAGACACAGGTTCAAATCTGACCTGATAAAGTAATGAAGCCCTGAAGTCAAGAGTCAAGCTCGCATACTGCTGTACATATGGAAACTGTTCAAGGTGACCTAAGCATGTTTGAGACATGCTGTCACCTTAGTAGATTGTGCAGCCCTGACAATATAAGCCTTGGCTTAAAGAGGAATTCCACACAAAAGAAGAGATTTTCTCTTATTTACCTTGATGTGCTGAGAGAAAAGCGGTACGAGTTCTGGCATTCTCACCAGAACAAGACATTTGCCTGCTCGGAACTGATAATAAGACTTCACAATTGCCAGATGGTGCATTTTGATTATATTGGTGTGGCAGAATTCTCTGCCTTGTGAAGATTTTTTTTTTGGGCTAGATTTCTCTCTTAAGCGATTCGCGAACAGGGTGTGCAAGACTGTTGACTCCTCATCATCTGTGTGTGTGTTATGTGTGCTGTGCTGCACTGCGTGTGGGTGGCCTTGCATCTGGAGTGCCTGTTTGTTCTTGGCCCCCTCTGCTATTCTCTCCCGTGACATGCCTAGTAAAGCATAGAGCTTGTACAACACCTTCAACATTTCAAAGAGAACTCCTCCAATAAGATACTGCATGCTTGCTAGTGTAGGAGTCAGCTGGTCAAGGTTCTTTCGGCATGAATTGTGGGAGACGTGGGAGAGAGGGGTGGGCGCATGTGAAGTTCTTTCTCTGATTGCAATGGCCAGCATTTGCTGCTTTAGTGTACAGACTCTGCTGAGCGTGCTGGCATGTAGCTTTCCATCTTTGTGGATGGCAGTGCTGCGATGAATTTGATCTGTCAGGATGATCTGAAGCTGGCAGATGTATCCTTATCGCAGTTTGCTTTTGTAGGAATCCGTCACTGTTCATCCTCAGTGGTGTTTCACGTGGACCAGTTTCAAAAACGAATTTTACCGCTGTCATATTAAATTCTCGTCACTCATAATTGAACATGTCATGACGAATGATGGACCAAAAAAAATTGTCCAAAATTACATATTGATTTTTGTGGATGTGCATGGAAGTTAAGAAAGTCTTTCCTTCTCCTAAAGATATGTTCTGTTATGACAGTGACGTTTAGAAACGGTTTGTTAGTCAAAAAAAATCTTTTGTAACATTGCTAAGGTAATAGACTACATTTTTTAATGTTCTAATGTTATAGAACTTGTACTTCAGATACTTCTTTGACACCAGGTCTAATAATGTGAACCACATAGGTCTCGGATTCTTAAGAATCTTAGACGAGCAATACAGGGTAATAATACTTGTCTTTCTCCAGACTAGGTCTGGGTATTTGTGTGTGTTTTGTATGTGTACATAAATATATATGGTTAGTGTTTTCTGCTTTTAGAGATCAGAGTTCTGCACAAACATCCTTTTCTAAGTAGCCGTGACTCCATAACTTCAGGTGCTGCTATGGAGTTTGCTCATCTTCAAACACTTTTAAAGGGATGCTTTGATGCTTTGAGGACTCTAGCTATCAAGATTTTTGGAGACTGTTTGAGTTCTGTAAGTTAGGGATACGTAGAGACATGTTATCAACCATAATTTATTTTGCGGTCTCAAAGTTCTAGAAGAAGCTTTTAGAGTCTGTCAGCTAAAACTCAGCCTCTCTGTAGATGACTACCAGTGCTTTGTCGACCTTTCTGCATTCTTACTCTATGCATATCTAATGGTAATCCCTGCTGTCCTATGGTGCAGTGCAGGGTTGCACCGAGCTGCTTCTTCATCTCTACCCATCGTGACTAACATCAGTTTTTAACCATTTCCAACCTTCTCACCCCACCTACTCAATCAACTCATCCTCCTCATGGCCCCAAATAGTTATGTTGTGTTTGAAAGGGCTAGCTTTTCCTCCACATGGGGGAAAAAAACACACTGGACAAATGAGCTCTCCTGAAACTGTACAGTACTCCCTCCTCGGTGTGGTGGACTTCGAGAGCAAAGCCCCCCCAAGTGATTTGACTTGTGAAAGGTATATCTGGTGACTTAACTGTAAAGCTTGGTCCTTTTCACCCTGGTGACATTCCTATCGGTTCGCTTTGTAATCTGTGGATATTATGACCTCCATTTTGATTTCCCTTGTGAGATCGTGTACTACTTGAAGAAATGTCCAAGCAAATTTTCCTTGTTTTTTTTTTTTTTTTTTTCATATGTCGATGTACAGTATCAGGAAGCAGAAAGAAGGGGTCTGTTATTTTCATTCAAACAAACATGTCCATTCCACAACCGTATCCAAGATATTTTCTACACTGTTTGTTGCACAAACTTTTTTGAGAAGCCTTCTGCACTGTGTAAATGATTACATGGGGGGAGGGGGGATGGAGGGGGGTTGATGGGAGCTGTCCACCGGGTTTGAATCATGATTTGTAAATACGTTTTCATACAGCAAAACTTTTGATAATGTTTTGAACATTTCTTTAAAAGGATATGTATATTAGCCTCCTGGAGAAGAAGAGTGTAGACCATATATGAATTTATTTGTACACGAGAGCACTGGATTTCTTTACTACTTGATTGTAACTAAAAATTAATCTGCCAAAGTGATTTAATTTTTTTTTCCTCTGTGTGTGTTTAATTTAATTAGATTTTTAACAGTAAATCATTGCAGAAATAGGCATTCATGTTGTATTTAATTCTATTTAATAGATTCTGTTCTTTGTTGAAAGAGAGGATTATCAGTTTAATTTATTGGTGCCTTGTTTGTGTTTATGTACTTTATTTTTTTGTGTTTTTGTGTCTGTGTAGGTTTTTTTTTTTCTTTTGGGGGTGGATTTTAATTTAGTGACACTGTACTTACATGGGATATCTGTACTGTATGCCAAATGGTCTCACTCACGTTTGTATGAAAATGAGCTGTTGATAAATATCTCTATATATTGATATATTAAATCGATAAAAATCAGTTTTGGCCTTAGATTGTCTTTTTCCATTCAACGAGTTATTCAGGGCCAGTGCGTTCGCTTACTTCTAGGTTTAATCTCTCTCTTTCTTTAATCAGTGCAGTCGGTTTGCTATGCATGTAGGCTCTTGACTGGTAGCGTCTCCCAGTGTGTGTTGTGTCTGGCTCCCCAGAGACGATGATGATGGTGGCTCTTTGTCTGCTACTGGCAGGAAAACCTCCCCCACTGCATAGCCCGCTAATTTGGTTAATGTCTCTATTTAGCATTAGCGTGTACTGAATGAGAAAGACAACAAAATGAACCCCAGTGGCCTCTCTCTCCAACAGTGGCCAAGACATTTGATGGATATGATATTCATAAGGTTGCCATGGTATCTAAGAGGGGGCGTGGTTCTATTGTTGTTTGAGGATCTTGCTTCTGCTTGACATCACTGTGTGCATGATGAAAGGGGGATCATTTTATGACCTAATTGGTCTAAAAGGAATCTGATAAAGTAGCTATTTAGCTGATCTCAGCAGACACAATGCCACTTATTATAATACAGGGGTACAGGGGTGTTCTTTTTCTGAGGTGTACGCCACAGCCATTTTGAATCATGTCTTTAAACCAGGGGTGCCTAAACTTTTCGTCTTGGAAGGCAAAATGCAATGTTTATGGTGGGCTGAGGGCCAGAAAGACAAGCAATATACAGCGAAAGAAAGATGGTAAGGTTTAAAATTTTATTTTAACATCATTGCTAAAATAAACACTGATGCTACAATAATCCAAATACAATTTTAAGAGGAAAATAAGAATTTAAAAAGTTATACACACTGTATGGCCAAAAGTATGCAGACACCTGACCATAATTTTCTGGCAAGCCAAATCAAACATCCTCACAGCCAACCCATGGGTCACACTTTGGGCAGCCCTGCTTTAAACCATTTGTCTTTAAAGCGACGTAAATGCCAACACTGCTAATAATTAATAGAAGTGAACAGATACAATTTAGTACTATGGAAGTAAATCCTGCTAACCAGATGTGATGTTTTTTTCACTGTTGGGCTTGTTAACAATTTTAAGTGGACTGCCCCTTTGAACAAGACAATAATCAAAGTCAAAATGCATCTGGCTCTCAACAACTTGTACAGATTATTTCTGCACATTAACCACACTGCCTTTGCTAACTAACCTTTTGCTGCCACCAGGAGATACACCCCACCTATCATCCCAAACACAGCAGCAGGGAAATATCCAACAGTGCATTCATCTGTTTCACAGTGAAATATTACTTTCCCTTTGTTTTCAAGGTCTGGTCCTTGCCGTATCTCAGAGTGGGATGAAGGACTTTTGTGGACAGCAGTGTTCACTCTTTTGTAAATCCTTCATTTCAGCGGGATAGATGACATTTAGCCCTGCCTTCCACCTGGGGTATTTCACCAATTATCATCCAGCCATTGTTGAATGTGGCAGGAAGGGGCAGAACGGGGGAGAGCAACAGTGTCAGTGTGAGCTCTGGGTAAAGCTATTAAGAGTTAATTGCTATCAAAAATTCCCTCTTTCAGCAGGGAGCGCTGTTTGCAGACAGCTGGGGAGCCGCAGACGGGGCAGAGGAAGTATGTTCAGCACTGATTAGAAAAGGAGGATACAAAGGGAGGAATTGAGAGGCTCTAGTATGGTTTTCTACCTCTTCCCATCTCTCGCTCTCACTCAGTTTATTGCTGAAGTTAATTAGTCTGGTGACATAAGTAATAACCTAAACCTTTTTTACCTGATGGTCTTCTGCATGACCTTCATTCCTACTTGATTAGTCTATAGCATGTTCTGTCATTTACTGTTTCCATTTCTCATTGTTTTCAGACAATGGAATGAACTCATACTGTGTCTTTATGACTCTTTTAGTGATTACTCGTTATACGCCTCTGTGGTGGGTACATGCATGGCACAGTTTTTGTGTGTGGGGGGAGGGGACAGGGGTAAGAAGCTGGGGAAATCTCCTGTAATAGATCCCTGGGGGAGGCTTTCACAGACATTTCTGTGATCTGCAGCCGCTTTTCTGGGAAGCTCAAAAGTGAAGTATGCGTTTAATATGCACAGAATATTATAACAGCCTGTCAGGCCCAGTGCTCTCTATGCCTACACAGCACACTCTGCCTCTACTCAAATCTCAACAGGGTTCAATCCTGAACATCAACCTGTTAGCTATATATCACCTTCATTTCCACCGGTTTCTAAGATTCTGTGACCTATAGGAGCATCAGCAGTGTTGTTATATCTTTAGGAGTCTTAATGGTGAAAGAATGATTACTAATTAACTGCTCAAATGAACTTTAAGTGAAACATGCACTCATACAGCAACAGTTTTGTACCTGTTGGTTCTGTCTTAACTGGAGAAACGTATTCAGTGTTTTGAAGTGTAACACCACCACCTAGTGGTAAGGTCACGGTTTAAACCACCAATACAACAAATGGTGCAATTAGCACACAAGTGCAGGTTACTCATTGCGGGGGGGCTTGGGTGCTGGAGCCTATCCCAGCAGTCATTGGGCGGAAGACCTCAAACTACCAGTTAATTTTAAATAATCTATATATAATCATTATTTTGACAAAATGACCTAGATTTCATATGTGGGTAAAAGTCAGAAACTAACAAAGACGTGGTTCAGTAGGCTCTATTTCCAGGCAGCTACAACACCTGTTCGAATACATATTATTTTCTTCTAATCACTCGGAAAAACCTAAAGCAGGACCTGCTTCCCTCATCATTCATGTGTAACGCAATTCATTTTCTCAGTGAAATTAGAAGTTTCCAAAAAACTGGAGGAGTTCTGGAATTTTCCCTTAGGGATCTCCTGAGATTAATGGTTCAGAAACAAGTCTGTTTTCATGGTTATGCTTTTGCTGCTGCAACAACAAAATTCAGAAAATAAATATAAAGAATGAGTCAAATGCATTCTGCATAACCACCACCAAACATATCAGCTGGTGTGTGAGGTTTTACTTGGTTCAGATTACAAAGAAATAATTAACTACTTTATTTAGCTTACAGTGTTCATAAATGAAATGTGGCAAGTAGACGAAAGACCAAAAGAAAAAATATTGAACATTGATTTACTAGTAAAACACTGTAGAGGAAAATAGAAAATATTAAAAGTACGATAAAACAACCTACGAGCACTATGGTAAAAGTTTACACAACTCACATTATGTGAAAAAAAAAAAATCCTTCAAACATGGAATTATTCTACAAACCTTAAAAAATAATATGTGGCTGAGGCAATAGTGCTGAGACAGACAGTCACAAGAAATACATAGCACTATTCAGTCTTACACTGCCCACAAACAGTTATACCTTCTGCACCAAACTCATGTTCAGCCACTGTCGTATAAAAATATAAATAGCTATCAAATACAAAAATATGAACATATTTTCTTACAAAACCTTTTTAGCAGTAATAGTGTTAAAAGGACGTTTCTCTCTCCACATGCTCAAATATAAATTCCAAAACTAGACTGGAGGAGCGGAGGGGGAGTCAGAACTAAAACTGATATGCTTCATTATATTGTGAATACAAAATTGTTTAAATCAGTAATGAGATTTTTTTCATAGAAAAAATGGGTAATGAGGTTTTCTTTTGTTTCCTTACTAAGTTATCACACTCTTGTCCTTGTATTCATTTTCAAAGAAATGAAATTATAAATTACATTTTGCTAAAGCTGCCACTTTTATCACTTCAAAGAGCTTTTGTTATTTAGTAGCTGTGATTTTGTAATCTAGTTACAAATCTAATGTGCATTACTAGATACAGTGCTTTACATTTTTTGGCTAATAATTAAATGAACTCTGATATCTTGGGCTTTACTGACCTTACACAGAAGAAAATGACAAAGAAAGCTTACAAGAACCTTTGGGTTGCTAATTTATGTCGCTTTGGGGTATGAATTAGATCAGCACAGCCACAGAAAGCTTTTAAATCAAATCCCTGAAATTCAGCCAAATCTGTACCTTCTATATTTTCTTGGAGTGTTACTGCTGGTGTTAAACTGTCTCCATCCTGCTGCCCGAGACAGCTGTTTTCATAAGGAGATCCACCTCAGTCTTCTGCCTTTTCAAGGGGCTCTCTAAGCCCTCCTCATCCTCCCTCTGTCTGACCAAACGACTGACAGGTTCTGTGCTTGGACTGCTGGTGTCTGGCTTAGAGCTGGAATGGAACTTTGTGTCTGATCTGGTATGATCTAAACCGTGTGAGGAGCCATTTGTGTTGCTACGGTCACCTGTGTGGTCACTAACACAGGCAAGGAGTTGCTCAGTAGAATGGAAATCAGCATCTGTGGTATAGACAGGCATAGAGAAGACTGTGATTAGTAAAGGAGGCTGAATAATTACTATTTATAGAGCACTTTTCATACCGGTGGTAGCTCAAAGTGCTTTACAGACAAGGCATAAAGTTTCAGAGAAGCAATTAAAGTTGAGTTGTATTTTCTTCTATTATACGTGCTATTCAGTATTCATAAAAATTAAAAAGATAAATACAAAAAGAGAGGTAAAAATGTAATAAAAGCAAAATTAAAGAGATGCTTTCAAATGTTTCTTAAAAGTGTGCACTAAGCTTGACTGTCATAACAAAAGGTGGAAATGAGTTCCACAGTTTAAAAGCATGATAACAGAAACAGGCCTCTCCACGTTTCTGTATTTTATAAAAGGTATTTTCAGAAGGCCAGTCTGCAAATCTCAGATCACGTATTGGAACACAGTCATTCTGTGAAGTAAGCAGGTGCTTTAACCATTTAGAGCTTTAAAAACCAGAGAAAGAACTTTAAAATCTATCCCAAAAGATACAGGTTAAAGTGAAGTTTAATTTAAAATGCCACCTCACAGATTCCAGCACCTAAAAGTCCAGCTACATGTAATTGCTGTGTGAAAATTATTTACAAGTCCTGTGTCTGCAATAATGTTTGTGTAAAGGAACTTCAATATACAATATTAACACACAAAACACAGGCATCCTAACCTTTGTGTGTGGTGAGGCTGTTTTCAGTTTCCAGCTGGCTACCACCACAGCTGGAAGCAACAGGATGACCAATAGTTTGGCTGACCTCAGTGCTCTCCGTCTCACTCAACAGCCGGCCTGTGAAGTGCCTGAATACAGACATACCAAAAAAATCCAAATAAAAATACATATAAAAAGACTGACTATCTGGAACCAATCTGACTGAATGGTGATCACCCAGTTCATTCTATTGTTGATTTTCTGCCCAAAACAGACAGATAAAACTTTGGAAGATTTTATGTGACCATCAACAATGGACAACTGTCCGTGGCACTACAGCAGAATTCAAAATCTTGAAGGTGAGATATAAAATCATCATATACTTCATGGAAAGTCTGACCAGGATATGCAAGAATAAACTGTAACCAAACCTGATAAAAGAGTTTCAAAAAGAGTTTGTTAGACTTTGAGCAGTATGTGATGCTGCAGCAAGAATTATATTAACAATAACTTAAAAAGTAAAAGATTTGCTTGGTTCCACGCTACGTACTTGTGGAAAATCTCAGAGGGAACTTAATCAGACTCACACCAGAGATCTAGCTAAAAACAAAGAAAAAAAGGGGGATGCGGTTTCAAATATACATTACTGAAAGTTGGCTTACGTGACATCAGGATGAAGACTGGCTTTTCTTTTCCAGAGTTTGATCTGCTTTGCAAAGAAATAATCTGGTCATACATCCTACAGTATTTAATAGAAGGCAAGACCTTCTTTTACAAAACTAGTTTTCATCTGGATAACAAAGTTTAAACAATTATGCCAAACGTAGGGCTGGGCAATATGACAATATTTACTGTTATCATGATCAATTAAGTCACAATATGTCACAGTATGCTGAGCAAACTTAAAAACACTACTCAACTGCATGTTTGATTACAAAGAGAGCATAGTTTGTTTAATGCATAGTATGTAAAACGTAATGTAAAAATGTAAAGTTTTCATTAGTATTTATTAAATATGATACTACTTTGTCTGCTCAAGCTTATGAGAGAAATATCATGACAGGTCACATATTGTAAAAAAAAGTTCTTTAAGTATCATGATATTAGATTTTTTCCCATATTGCCCAGCTATACAAACAAGCATGTCTTAAGAACATCATCCATGATTTTTGGGCTGACATTTAATGTTTTAATTGATTTTAGTCAATCATGCTCACTTTGTGTCAAATGCGTCAAAGCTTTCTGACTCACCTTGTTGGCTTCTACAGAATTATCCTTTCCACATGCTTCATCTTCTTGCTCAAAATCTCGATTTTCCTCCTCCGTCCAAAATGACAGGTCCTCTGAAGGAGATTTCAGTGAAACAGAAGCATTCATAACAAACTAACTCTCATTTAAAGCTTTTCCAAGGAAACACGGATCATATTTATATTTTTGTTGTTTTTAACAAAAGTAAGAAAATTTGAAAACATTATTGCTCAGGTTAACATTAGTAATAGACACAGTGCAATGTGTTTTATAGTATGTTTCAAATGGGTTTTTCATAATTATTTTAATCTTATCTTAAGACAAGTGTAGGCATATAGATATAAAAGTAAGAACATGACATGCTTACCTTTAGCAGGCTTTATGCTGAACTTCAGTTTACTTAGAGCTTCTTCCTTGTTAAAATTGCATTTCACTAACTCATAGAGAGCCTGTAATATATACAATGGGAAAACGTCAGCCTGGGTTATAGCAACATTATCAGGACAGAAAGAATCCTTAAATGAGCACAACATTTCATATTTAGTTACCTGCTCATTGTCCTTAATAAGAGGCCTCTTTGGGAGGGCCTCTCCACTGATCTCCTCCCCAGTGCGTTTAGAAGCTTCAGCTAAATAATCCACCACCTCGTTCTCGGGCAGCAACTCCGGATTCCACAAAAGCTGATCATCATTCTCATACACTACAACGGCAAAAAATGGACAAAATAAGTGAGTCAAGTTTAATGATGGACAAATGAGTAGGACAAAAAAAACACAGACCATGGCTACTTCAATGTCTTTTAACATAGTTTACCCTTTTCGTTGTCTTCATATTTGCACAGCCCAGCAGGTGTCTCAGCCTGGTGCATTGGTCCAACTTTAACCTCCTGGATGCCCAAAGACACATTTGAATACATTAATTAAAAATAACGTATACCCGAACACTTCAGTACGAAAATTGTAGTTTAGAAGCACCCATTTTCATAATTATACCTTTTTCCACTCCTCAGATGGAATATATTCCTCATCTTCAGACTCATCAGCATAGTTACCTATGAATCAAACATGCTCATTTAAATAGATCATTTAGTGTCAAACACAGTGCTGATGTCCATTCACTTCATACAGTGAAGGAGAACCAAAAATTTATTTGGTTGTCTTTTTGGGCGGTTTGCCAGGAAAAGACAGAAAAGATGCCAAGCTCTTAAAACAGAAGAACACTGTGTGCATTACAGTGAAAAATAAATGTTCCAGGTCATTAAAGATGTACTGAGTGAATGAGGTAATTGGGTAATTAATGTGATGGCAATATAATACAAAGGACATAACACTATCTGTGTGCCACTGTAAGTCACTATAAACCTGTTTGTGATCATTAATAAGAGTCTAGAACATACTGTCAAAATAGCTGCATGGCTCAGGACAGAGAAGCTGAGCTGTGCCGTGTGCCCTTCTGTTTTGAGCAGACTCATCACTGGACGAACGGGTGTCCTCCTCTTGGTCACATGACTCTCTGTCCTCCTTACACAGCCAAGCACATGGAGAGAGAACGGGAGAGGAAAACCAGTCAAGATCTTTATATTTGAAAAATAAAAGTCAACATGTTTTACTTTTGCTGTTTAATTTACTTTGCTTGCCTTGAATTCTCCTTGAGCTGTGCCCCTCTGATCTTTCTCTGAGATTTCCTGCTCTTCTGTTCCTTCATCTTCCTCTTCTGCTGAATCTCCTCCATAACCATACATCTTTAGAAGCTCGTGAAGAGGCATCTCTCCTTCCTGTAGCATACCCAGAGCACACATACATGTTAACACTGATATTCACCATCATGTGTTGTTCTGAATGACCACTTTGAAGTCCCATACTCACAACAGAAGACCTGTGTCATCAGAGACCACCTTTAAATGATTTACTTTCTAGTCAAAACGCCAATTAATTACAAGTTATTCATTTGTCAGCATCAGCAACAAAGCAGGAAATATATTTAGCAGAAAACGATACAGAAACATCAACAACTAAATATAGTATCAGATTTCTCAGTGTTCAGTGTGTCCACCCTTTACCTTAATTGCAACTTGCTTTAAGTATTTCAAATAAATCTGCAAGAAACATTTTCCACACCTCCAAAGTTCAGATTTAGAAGTGGAATTTTCTACTGCACACAATCCAAGGAATCCCAAATAAACATTTAGACTCATCAGTCCATAAAATCTTACTTCTCATCTCAGATGTCCACTTTCAGCATTCTAGTACAAATGCTTTTGTTTATTTCCTTTGCTCAATAAGGTCTCCTTGACAGCTACACATCATTTCAGACCCATAGTGATGTCTTCTCACAATAACTGTTTTTCAGAAAAAACAAAAAGCAAGAAGCAAGAGTGGATCTTGATTTTCTCAAATCTCAGAAAGATAAACGTTTTAAGTACAGATTTTTGGTTATTTTGGTGGTCTTGCATGGTTGTCAGGAGTCCCACTTTTCTGATATCTTTTAATATATATTTTATTTATTCCAGTTTTTCACTTCTTTTCCTTTGACTTTCCACTTCCTAATGCAAGTGGATTATTTTATAACTAATCTCTTCAGAAATAGCTCCTTTAGCCATTTTATGTGTACATGAGAAAGAAATTCAAAAGGCAGCTAAGGTGTGTTTGGGTAGTTGTTTGTGTGAATGTTAGCGTCTCTTTGAAGGGGAACAATGTCAGTAAGAGCTTTGGTAACAGCTTTTGTTGGGAAGACAGCTGTAACTTATTAGTTTTAAGATTAGAAAGACAGAAGAGTTAAAATGGGGGTAGAATGAATAAAAGTAGAGTGGACAAATTAAATACTGATAGATTACATATTACACTTAGTGTACAATGCTTTTGTGTAATTTTCTGTTAAGTATGTTTCCCACTTTTACACTGAAAAATGAATAACGTACTCAACTGAATAACTGAAAGGGTGGTCTCTGCCTTTTGCACAGTACTCTGTATAGATTAAGTAAGTTAACACTTAGTCAGTTCCTAGGTAAGTTCCTATGTAATTTTACTCAACAACATCCTGATCTGAGACTTTATACTGTGCACGTTTCTAAAGCAGCACAACATTGCTAGACATCTAATCAGACGCACAGAAAATTGCATAGCAAAACTGTTTAATGCACTGACGCTAGGTGATTAATCATCTCAGGGACAGAAAGTGGCTGAACAGTGGGTGCAGTTAAAGCTCACTGTCAAGGATAGATAAAGTTAGCAGTTTATCAACAAATGTTTTTAAAACCATTGAAGGCTGAACTACAGAAATCACTGCGGAAGTCAACATATCCTTGGCCCAGTTTATGACTGCAGTGCCACCTGCAAAGCTGATAAAGCTATTGTTAAAACCCCACATAACCTGGTATAAGGAACATAACTTTTATTTTGGAGCTACCGTAGACAGAAATGCACAGAAATACTATCTGATGAGTTTTTCTTGCATCTGGATGAGTTGTAAGGTTTAAAGCATGTTAGCAGTAGCTGTAACTCACTCGAGTGAGGTCGTCTATCTCAGCACTGAAGTTGGTCTCTCCTTGCAGCATCTCCTCCTCTTCCAGCGTCTGCTCATCATCAAAGTCATGAACAAGCATGTCCGCAGTCGGCTCAAAGTCCCCATCCTCCTCCCGGATAGCCGAATCCCCTTCATTTAAGAAAACAAAAGCTCTCTAATACCTTTTTTTCTAATGCTTCGCCTCTGACAAAGCAATTTACTGCTTATCGTTTTTCTGCTGTAATTGTTTAGACTATATGATTATGAAACAATCTTTGTAGATATCCAAGCAAGTACAGAACTAATCAAGCACCAACAAAATGAGTTACACTCAAGTGTAAATGACATATAACAATGGTGGATTTCAGGGAAACACTCGATTGTTCTAATACAGAGTAGCTTTCCATTGAAAGGTATTGAATTCTCCTAGACAGTATACACTCTGTGTGTTTTGTGAGTGTGTGTGTAAAGTGATGTGTTTGATGTTGGCCAATTTGGTCACTTCATGAGAAATTATTAAATTGTGATAAACAGAACAATACATTTTCATAAAAACATTAAAAAAAAGTTACAACAAAAAAAACTATCAAAAAATTGGACCTGCAAGAAAAAAACTATACCATCTGTATCAGAACAAATGATAATAATATATGGGTTACTCATGGATATATGTGATATTTATGAGAGAAATTATTGTCAAAAGCTATTTGTAATTTTTTTGTATTTCTTTTTTCCAAAATTCCAACTCTGAATTAAATTAGAAATATGAACTATAAGGGTTATTAAAATGTTCAAATACTGGTTGGACAGGCAGTGCCACAAAGTGACCTGACACAAAATTTAAACTATTTTTGACCAACAGAAAAAAAAAAAGTGGCCAATATTTTTATTGTACGTTTTCAAGTCTTTGGGTGTTAATGGGTTAAACAGTTATTTAAACGTTATCTGAACATTACCTGGTTAGCTAGAGTGAAAGCAATAAAAAATTTAAATCATAAACTGTGATGAATTACCTTGTGTCCTGGCACCGCTTAAGGAAAGCTGTAAACAGTAAATAAAAACTAAGTTAGTACATGACCACAAACTACTTTTCACCATAATTTTTACAGTATATCAGAGCTGTGGTTTTAGTAAAAAATTAATGGAGAGTAACTCTATGCTTAACAAGAACCAGCAGCTACTTATGCAGCCACCACAATGCAAAAACTGACCAGTTCACTTAGGCCAGCCAGCTGATCACAGAATCAGAAAAAGGTTAGCAGAACCTATCAACACTTAATTTTTAACCTAAATGTGAGGCATGTGCTGATACCACTACCACTACTGAATAACAGACTAAATGCCTTAAGTTTCAAAAGTACTGCTTATTTTATGTAATAGATCTGTGGTTACTGAATTTGAACCCCTACTGTAGAGTCCCTGTCCCTTTATCCATGACCCATCAGCTGCTTGGGTTCCTTTTACTAGAAAGGGTTAACTCCCTACAGTAATTATATCTAGAGGTGGAAAATATGATGTTATTGTTATAATAAATTCAGCTGCAAAGCGCTTTTCTGAGAAACTTGAGTATCATGACTCATGAGTATCTGAGTATCATGAACATCAATACTTCCATCCAAATCATGGAACAATTACATGTATTGAAAGTTTTTAATTTTACAATTTTAATTTTCCACTACAGAACTACAGGGAGCACAAGTGAAAAAAATATACCACCTGATTTAGAACAAATGACAATAATATATGGTAACTTGTGGATATATGTGATATTTATGAGATGAATTATTGACCAAAGTTATATTTCGAATTTTCCATTATTTAACAGGAACACTGAAGAGTTAGTAGGGAGCTCAGAGTAGCAGCTACAGACTGTTTCTTCAGTTTATTTCTGTAAATGTTGAATTTAAAAACTTTTTTTTCATATTATACATTATTCATAGCCTTTTTACATTATAGCACTGCTGTTTTCCTTATGCATTTTGCCCAATCTAACAGAAAAGCTAAATACTGTGTTAAAGTTGCACATCGAATATCATGAAATTGTCCTGAAGTATCGTGATGTTTTTACTTTCATCACATAACACACTTCATTTATATTAACAAATAATAATGAGAACACAAACATTCCTCCTCTACACTTCTGCACGAAAGCCCTCCGACAAACTCACAGCAGTCCGTCAGCTGCAGTGGAGTTAAACAGTCGGTCAGTATCTGAGCTCGTCCTGCTGCTGCAGACTGTGGGGGGAATCTGAAGCGGGGAAACGGTTAATGTAACGGGTTTAACGCAGCCCGAGTAGGATGAGCAGGAACACCGCTAACGATACTTACTGAACCGAGCAGGAAACAACAGCTAACTTCCGAAATACGCGGACAGGAGGCGATTTTGAAAGGAAAACTGTTTTAGTTAACGTGACTTACAAACGTTATGGCGAAAGAGCGGGTAGCTACGGCGCACGAAGCGGAAATCAGCTGCTTATTCGAATTGTCCCGTTCCACCTTAAATGGTGCAGCAGTTATTATAATAACGCCTGAGGCGCCAGAGTGTAACTACTGCACCATTTAAGGCGGAACAGGTCAGTTCGAACAAGACGCTGCCGAGTAGGAAGCCAAGTTCAGCCTCGTCAACGTCGCCAGATGAGTCTTTCTCTGCGATGATGTTTATTTGTTTAACAGAAACAGCGAAAAGTTAGTAGCTAACAATGTTAAATTTTATCTGCCGTCTCAAGGTTTGACAAAGTTTAACGTGCGAGTTTAGCCGCGAGCGAGCTAGCTAGCCAGCTTAGCTAACGTTAGCTTGTTGTGAGAACTGGTGAAGTTAGACAGAGCTAGTCAGCGCACGGAGGCAGCTGGGTTTACAAGTGGAAGTGCACTGGCTTTAAAAGACGAACAAACTAAAGCCCTGCTCTAAAGTGAAGAGAAAGTACAGCAGCGCGCGATTACTTCTGTTTTACTGTCACAGCTGCTGATCTTTGTTTCTTACCTCCGCCATTATTGATTACTGTCTGAACCGTGAAGCCGGCGATAAGTTAGTGGTCGGATTATTCAATATAAAAGTCTGTTTCCACAGCGTGATCAATACCTGGAATAAATATTTGAAGGCAAAATGAAAATAATGTTTTTTTTTAAGAAAATGTTTGTTGTGTATTTACGACTGTTAATCTCACTGCATTACAGTGTAATGTACTTGTATTTAACGTTAAAAAGCCAGCCTGGCAGAGATGTAACGTTACGTTACCTGATAGCAAACATTTAACTCAGCAACTTGCCAGACTAATTTATTTGTTAGACTGTATAAAATAACAATAGACACCGTGCAAATCAGGAAACTTTGTTTCTTCATTTCATTGTTAGCTGGCAATTCACAAATTCATCGTTACAGTAAATCCACCGGAAGCCAGCAACCACTCAGCTGCTGTGAGAAAGTGTGACAGTGTATCTTTAATAACAGCTACAGGGTGATTTCTCACTGTTTTTGTTTAACACGCCTCTGAACTGTTTACAGTAAAACAGAACTGCATTTTTTTCCCTGTGTGGTTTGACTGAAAGTCCTGCAGGGGGAGATGTTCTCCCTGCTGATTTGGACAGACTGGCCTTCTACTGGCCCATATTTGTCAAACCTCTCGGAGGAAAAATACTGATCTGGGATCAGTTTATGCTTTTTACATTTCACTGAATGGGACTTCATGACCTTACATCAGTGTTCTCACTGACAGGCCTGATGGACAGTAGGGACGTATGATGATATCAGAATCATATCTGAATTACCATAAATCGCTTTTAAAAATGATCATGTCGGCCACTTTTATATTTGACCAATTCATTGCGGTATTCATTGAACTCTGGAAGATCAAAACATTTAGGCAACTCTGGATTATTCAGTGAAAATGTATTTCATTCATTTTACTGCATTGGTAATCCTACAGAAATAATTGTTATATTTGTACAGATAATGCTAATCCAGTTGGATTTAGTCCCAATTTCTGCACGTTATACGTTTTCCCACAATTCCCATATCGGTGCCTCACTAATAAATGTGGGCCAGTGTTTCTAATTTGCTCCTATGAAGTGGATATTAAATTAAATGGGAAGTTTAACTAACTGACATTGTGGCAGATGGATGTCATAGATTTATGAGTCACACATTAGAACTGCTGCAATAATTCTCTGCAATAAACATCCCAGCAAAACACCAGAGCAGTCATATTCCACACAACTAGAACATAAAAGACTAAATTTCAGATTTAAAAAAAATGCACTTGAACACAACAAATGGAAAACATAACTGAGGTATTTTAATTATATATGCACACAGGCTCAGCCTCTCACTGATACAATCACTGAGCTTCTGTTAAAGTGAACCGCACAGAAAAAAATACTATTAAAAAAAGGGAAACATACCAGACTTAATGGGAAAAAAAGCATGATCAGATAACAGAAAGTGCATCCTCATCACAATGCTGGCCTTGAACATTATAACCATGACCAAAAAAGAAAAACAGTCTGTCGAAACATCTCTAACGGTTGGGCGTCCAGGTCAAATAATCAAGTTGTAACATAAACCTTGGAAAAGAACTAATCCTTTTCACCTGTGTTACTGTCCAAACACCAATGGATTAAAAATGTATGTGAACATGAACATGGGATACATTCAAAGTAATGTTGGGTATTCCAGATGTATAACATCTAGATTATACTGACAAACCCCTGATCTTTACATTTAAACTGGTCAGAAAGTACCAATGATATCAGTCCTGATATGCAGGATATTTTCATTTCTCCAATTCTTTTATCTCTCAAGTACAGTTCTAAAACTAAGGCAAATCTGACTCAACAAACTACAGTAACTAAAGCTTCTTCAATTTTAACTATGAAAAATCCCAAAGTACCTGTAAACAGTTAAAGTGCAATGACTACATTGCTCACTTAAAAACAAAAGAGCATACCATAACAGGGCATCAGTACAAAAACAAGTTACTGCACGTCACTCCCTGGTACAAAAGATTAGAAAAACAGCTGAAAGAGTTGCAGATGAAATGTCTCAAGAGACATTTATAATACTGAGAAAACAGAGCAGCTCTCTTTTTCAAAGCTTAATATAATCATTCTACTCAACTCTACATTAAGTAGCAGGCATGCGACACATTCACACACAAACAAATACAAAAAATGGCATAATATTCTCAAACAACTTAGGGAACATTCCTGTAGGTTGAAGAATTCAAGTTGAGCGTACGCAAAACTGTTCCAAAGACAGGACAGATCTCCCTTTTTCATACTAAAAATACCAAAAAGAAAAGTACAAAACTCTTTTAGAAACATATTTGACAATAAATAATGACCTATCCCAACTAGTCCAACACCTTTTTATTGGGGGAAAAGAGGAAAAAGACAGTGTATCACAACACTGTACAAAAAGGCAAGGGGGGCTGAAGATGATTAACACCGACCACAGCCATCACTGCATTTATTCCAACAGCAGTCCTTCAAGCTTGACAAAAAAATTGTATTCAATTCTTCGTCTGCTCCATTCGTTTTCAAACATTGATAAGGGAACCCAACACAGCATGACTCAATCTAATCAAGTACACGACCTCTACATTCTTGTTTACTGCTTGCAATGACGCCATCCTGCCATCAGCCTGTACTTGAGAGCTTGAGATTTTATTGAACCTTTCCTTGAAGTGTGTCCTGTCATTTCCCACCATGTCACTGCTGACATGTCTTTTTGAAAAGGCTCCTTTTCACATACTACAAAAACTTGCAATAAATACTAAAGGTACAGTTCCCTTGTACCTGTGGAGCACTGAAGCGCAGGTCATACAGCCACTTTTCCCTTGACCTCCAGTTTGGTCAAAGTTTCTCCTTGTTTGGCTGACTGCTCCTCTGTGAACGTTATGTAGGAGTACACCAGGCTACCAGCAATACTGAGGCAACAAAGACAAACCATCAAGCAGTGATTAAGCAAACTGTTAAACCTTAACAGTACTTTATGTAATCTTTCCAGTAAAGTTTAATTTCATACCTGACATTTAGACCAATGAAGTTAGTCCATGAGAAAATATAATCCCCTCCAAACACCATTCCAATATATGTCACTAATATGTTCTGTACAGATAGGAGGAAAGTAATGAATGAATATATGAATGACAAACCCTGAAGATCTATATCAGGAGTGTCCAAAGTCCAGCTCCAAGGCCAAATGTGGCACAATGACAAATTTTTAATTGGCTCATGGCTTCTATTTACACTGACGTGCCAAAAGTCATAGGACAGGAACTAGTATTGTGTAGTCACAATTCTGTTCACTGTGAGTGGTAATGCCTTCTATGACATATTCCTGGTACACACGTTACACTGTGGATCGAATAATGTTAAACGCCTGCACAACTTCAGAAATGTGATGTCCCATCATTCTGGCACTCACTATCATGCCTTGTTCGAACTCCGATAATTCACGTCACCATGAGCATGCCGGCCAGTGTTTTACCTCACTCACAAGATAACACCTCACAACTTATACAGGTGTGCGGGTTCCCAAGCCGTCCCGAGGTAACGTCACTTCATAATCAATTTACATACTGCTATCCCAGGACTTTTGGCACATCAGTGTAAAACTGTTATGATCCTCCGCCAATACACTGCAGATTTTTCCTGATCTGTATCATCAAATGAGAATATTTAAACAAGCTTACTTTCAGGCACCCAACAATAGTAGTTGTTAACGCAGAGTTGTACTGAGTGCACAGCACAGTGGAGTACATTAAAATAAACCTAAAAAACAAAACAAACAAAAAAAAAAAAGAATGCGATTAAACAAACACTGCACTTCCACAGGGGTTCATTTTGACAGTTATCAGTTGTTAATTTCATCTTACCCCATTACACAAGACATGACGAACTGTCCAACAAATAGCATATCTGACCAGCCCTCATAATCCAGAGCCTAAAGAGAATAGGGAAGATTATATATATATATATATATATATATATATATATATATATATATATATATATATATATATATATATATATATATATAGTAAATGAATGCAAGTTTGACATGTCACTCGGCATTAAATATATACAAACAGCAGGAAGCAGGCTTATGGTTTCACAGCATGTTCCATTTCAGAAAAGCATCTATAACTGAACTAATGACTTGCTTCATAAAACCTGTTTTATTCATTTTCATTGAGGGGATAAATTCTATACTTAAACAAGTTACTAAGCTGTAGTGGAAACTTTAACTTAAAAAATCGGAACAACACTACTAATAATGTTACTAGCATTTCTTGGAAAAACTGCTTTAAACAAAAAAGGGACTTCAGGCCTCTTACACAGTTTCCTCAAAGTACATTCAGCCAAACGCCCTCAGGCCTGGGCTTAATAATTTCCACTTCAGAGTTTTCCTGTTTAGAACTGGGCGGTTAAATGTAGAGGCACAGAAGGCAACTTTCTAAATGTGTGTCTCTGTTAGGCACTTGTTTGCAAAATTGTCATGAATATCATTTTGATTTTATTGCTTTTTTCCTTCATTTCTGTTTTACTTTAAAGTTATAAATGATGTTCATGACATAGAGCCAACGGCTCTTTCTGGTACACTTAAATATTGTTTTGAAGTCTGCAGTAGAACTGCATCACTCTGGTGAAAGAGTACTCTGGATTCTTGAACAATGTTCAAGTTATGTAAATTTCCACTGCCCTGTAAACACTGAGCCACAGTGTCTTCAAGGTACCTCAGTACATTAGATGAGAGGATACTGTAGAACAGGGAAAAGCTTTTCCATGTGTACAGAGGCTTTTACAAAATCCAAAAAGATGACTTAATTAATATGCAAAAATTCAAACCTCATTCTGTGCAGAAACATACCTTACAGGTACTTAATTTCATGCACAAGTCCGTGAGCCACCAAAGTCATACTATTTACACTAATGGGTATATAATGGTAGCTTTGTGTTTGAGGCACTCTGGCTCCTCGGAGGCACCGCCTGCCAAATAAACCGGGGCCTCCCAGTGAACAGGCACAGCTATATAAAATAAGGCATTCACTGGGCAAGGCCTTGACATGCACAGCTGTGATTCTGAGAGCACATGTCTAAACATTTAAGCTAGAAACGTTCTGTAGGTGAAAACCTAGATTTATTAAATTTCCTAACAATAGACAATTTCATCATGAAATTGGTTTTGTATTAAGTTATTTTTACCATGCTTACATCAAATATCCTTAAAGCAGAGGTGTCCAATCATATCAACAAAGGGCCAGTGTGGCTGCAGGTTTTCATTCCAAAAAAGCAGGAACACATGCGATCAGTTGTTTAAAGACCAACAGATTTAAGGAATGGAATCAGGTTTGCTTCATCTTGTTTGGAACGAAAACCTGCAGCCACACCAGCCCTTTGCTGTAGGGACTGGACACCCCTGCCTTAAGGACATTTATGACAACTAGCAAAAAGAATCCTGAAGCAAAGCAACTCAAGCTATGTAATCTCTGTGAATGTGACCTCTATGCAGTCGACCAGATGGTCTGTCAGAAGCTCCCAAATACCAAATAGGGATGAGGCCTTGCTGGTGGACAAGCACCACCAACAGGGTCATTTTGTGTTAAAATGAAAGTCCTTCATGCGGAAGTATTTCAGAACTCAGGAATCTAATTAACTGTTTTGATAGCTTTTAAAATATTATGCCATGCGCTTTGACACATACTCCATACTACTGCTTTCTTACCTTGTCTATGTCTCCAGTGACATGTGCCAAAAGCAGCGTTGGCAGGATCATAAATAAAGCATTGTAATAAAGCAGACCATATTTTCCCAGCTCCTGAAGGAAGGAGAGAAAGGGGGAGGGGAGACCAGGAGACCAGACTGGGTTATTCATGAAAGGCACTAGTACATTCCTGCATGCAGATGTCTGCAGATGTCATGAATGCCTTCCTCATGTCTCTTTCTCTCAAATATGCCTAGCACCTCTGTACTCCTACCATACAGACATATACAGATGCAAGTTACCAGCATTTGCAGTTCCTAAATATATCAGAACATTCACAAGGATGGAACTAAGAGCTTGCTCATAACTAAAAATAATCAACCTTTCTACCCGCACTCAGAACAAGGCATACGAACAACCTCTCTGTACAAGCTTAATTCTCTTTTAAACCTTTTGTGACAATGAATACTCAATATACACAATATTTTACAATAGGTAAGGTTGAACATTAACCTTGGCAGACTGGGTAGCAATTAATTCCCACCAAAACAGAAACAAAACAATACCAAGGGTGAACCCAGTGGTCTAAATAAAAGGCTAACCTAACCAGGGGGTTCCAAAACATGAAGTGCTTGAAATTTTAAGTAAAAATGCATTTTTCTTGGTCTTGTTGGTAGCTTTATAGCCATTCAAATATTGTTTTAAAACAATAATATGACATGGTTTGGGAGGCATCACACTACACATAACCCATCTATTTCTACTGTTCATGTATTTTTCAGAATCCTCATGAAAATAAACCTGCCTCATTTAAAGATGTCACATATCCTAAATCATATATGAGACTAGAAAAAGCTCAAAATTAAATCACAGTTCAAGCACAGGTCGAATGACTGAAGCACAGAACCATTCCTACTAGCACTTTTTAAGAGTACTGAAAAGTACTGAGCACCACATTTTCAGGGCATTGATCTTACCTTCGAGTCTAGCTTCTGCTTCACAAAGGCTCCATTAGCAGCAGTTAAAACATCATTCAGTAAGATGAACACATATCCTTGCAGATCGAAGGACAGGTCAGCACTGGACACAAAATGAACAGGAGCATTAACACAAGCTTAAAGTCACACTCAAGGACTTCAGAAGGGCAAAGTGGCATCTACACATAGTATCAGAGAATATTCTGAATTTATATTTAATTCATACACTAATATTGCGCTTTCAACGCACACACTTAAAAAACACACTTGAAAAACAGCACCCCATTTAAACTAGGCATTTGAATAATCCAAAATAGGTGCTTCACACCTTTCTAGCAGATGTTTAGCATTGGGCATTGTGACCTTAGGTTCATGTGCAAATGCTCCCCGTTCTACCCAGCTCAGTGGGGACATCTTTATGTCCATTTGTAGGACATGATTTTAAAATATCTGCAAATAAAAAATATGCAATGTCATCAACAGCGACATGTACCTTGCAGCCACAAAAGCCCCGAGGATCATTGTAAATACAGTGAGCTGAACCGGCCGAGAGAATTTCTTCCTGTGAAAAAGGAAGCAAAGTGTCAGTATGACAATCACTGGGGGGATTACTGTTGCATGAACCATAACTTCACTGAAACAGCATTGCTGTGGTCATTTACTGTTGACTCACTTTAACAAGAAGCCCTCAGCAAGCATTGTGAAAAGAATGGAAAACCTCCTCAGGACTGTAAACATTGGCAGACTGGAGAGGAATAGAAAAAAAAAAGAAAAATGTGTTAAGCCCACTTTTCAAAACGCTTCTTAAATCTCCCTCAATACATGACATACAACATTAAAGTGTGTTTACATCCAGACAGGGAATTTTTTGCATTAATAACAGCACAGTAGGACAAACTCATATCTTTAAACAGTGTTTTGTGATTTTGTAGTGTAAAGTCATACTTCAGCCTTTTTGTTCCAAACAGTCCAGATACTTGATTCCCTACATATAGCAGAGGTAGAGGAAATGTCTGAAATGAAAAGAGAAAATGAGCCAGGTATGTCAAAAACATACCACGTGTCAAGATAATGGGCCCTCACCCATTCAAAATATCTGAAATAATATTTCCCCATGTCAACAGAAGACATGTTGCTCTTCCAGCGAAAGGTCCCAGAAAAGGATATGGTCACTGCTCTTTACAAAGCCTACACCACACTAAATGTAAACAGTCCTTTCTTACACTACTGAAAATTAATATAAGAGACATCTACAGCATAGAATAATTAATCTTTAACATATGTTCAGAAACGTAACTATTTTTTATCTTATATTCTAAACACAATACAGACCACTGTCCTAACAGTTTAGTTTCCTGTTAGACTATCTAGTCATGATGTAACCCCTCCTCACACAGGCCTGATTTCGAGTACAATATTAGTACTGTACTATTTTGAAGTAGTGTTAAAGGTAGGGGTTTAAGGCATTCAATGCACTTTGGTTTTTTTATTCCTCTTAAGAAAAAACCCAAATAGATTCACAACTAATTGCACCCACCAATTTAATACTTTCCTGTACTGTTCTGAGGCCCAGGCTTGTTAGATGCTCAAAATTTCCTTAATAGTCCCTTTATTTCAATTTAATTTAGCAGAGCTATAGTAGAGCAGAGTAATAAGGATAAGCTGTTTTGAGGCTTGACTATAACCAGTTAAAACAACATCATAATTGTAGCACTTACAATTCAGCCTCATGCACAATTTGTAGAATAGGAGTCACTGGTTTAAATCAGTGGTTCTTAACTCTGGTCCTGGAAGCCCCCTGTTCTAATGCACCAGTTTCTCAGAAGGGGCTTGTTAATTAGCTGACTGGTTGAATTGTGTGTGCAGGAGCATGGAAAACGCTAAAACCTGCAGGGCCCTTGCCCTGGCCTCCAGCACTAAGGACAAGAGCCATGTGATTAGATAACTCCCAGACATGCAAGGTCCATCATTTCAGCAATCACACATGATCATAAAACATATCGCATATAAAGTCCTGAAAACTGAACAGCAACGGCCTGTTTTGTGGTCAGAAGCAGTGGCGTAACTACTGCCAGTGTGGACAGGGAAGTTGCTCTGGGGCATGTAAAAGAAGAAAAAAAAGGTAGTGGGGGGTGGGGGACCAGACTTTCTAACGTCTCTATTGGACAACTTTTATAGCTACATACATAATTTTACACCCATGACTCATGGGTAGCTACGATAATAATACACTTCAACCATTAGCCTCAATCACAGCACCAACTTTTCTGAGACACAGCAAATAGCAACAGTGAGTAAACAAGAAAATTACACAGTCTATTCTTATTCACTGAAGGTAATTTTTGTATCGAGGGCCGTAGCTCACTGGTCGGAGGAACACCACTGCTTTGGATATTAAGCTTGTGGTTTAGAAATGTTGGTTAATGCACTGTAATTTCCTGTGTGTTGCAGTTCTTAAGAAACATCTTTCATCACTATTATCCCACTCAATTGGATGACTAAACCTAGAGAATGTTGGCAGGTTTGATTTCACTTCTACAAAGGCAACCAGTCAGGTTCCTCACCTTCCTAGGTATGCTGAGGTCCCACTCTGGAAAGGTGATCACCCGCAGAGCCTTTCCCACCCATAACACCAGCACAGTGGCCAGCATCTGCGGAGGGGCACAGAGGGTACAGTGCTGAAAGCTCAGAGGGCAACTGTGCACAAGACTGCAGTAAATTTCACATCATGCTGTTTCTCTTACCTGGCCGATACCGAGACATATCGATGACGGAAACCTAAAAAAGGAGAAACTGTTTTAAAACCAGTCATCAGCAGAGCAGCTGCCCATAGACCCGTCCTCATCTAGTGGAAATAATCTGCCCACAGTCATGCCCCTCTGTCTCAACAGTCTACAGGTCGCGAACAGCAGAGAGACGCAGTTCATCCTGCTTTTATCACATTAGGACAGAACTCACGCGGCTGGGCTCGCCGCTAACGGAATTTCACTTCGGACACATTTGGCCGTGTCTGAATTTCACTTAAGACATTCAGACTCGGCCAGTCGTCCCACTCAAACTCCACAGTGTGAAACGATTCTCCTGATCTGAGCGGGACGCGGACTTCAATCACGCGGGCAGCGGAGCACCAGGAGAAACTCTTCTTACCTGTAGTTTGTCAAGACGCTCTTGTTCACAACAACTATGAGGAAAGAGCTAACGCCGTAGAAAGCCGCAGCCAGGAGCTTGATTAGGAGCGTTAACGTTTCGTCCGCCATACCGGAGCGTCCTTTTCTTTCCTCTTTGTTTCTCCAGTTTTACATTCCTCTACTCCGCTCGGCTCCCTCCTCTCTCGCGTCTCTCCCCTTCCGCCATGTTCAGCCGAGCCGTGTCGTCATGCGCTTCTGATAATATCCAAGGCGCGCTCTGTCGCCACCTTTCGGATAGACTGTGCAAAAACACCGCACACACGTGTAGGCTTTCTTAAAGGAGAACGCCACCAAATTTTTCACAATTTCTGCATAATTAAATTAAATTGAACTGTTCACGCTGGAGCCAGACGTCTGTAGAGTTTAATGTCTTTAAAACCTCCCTCACAGAAAGTTATGGAATGAAATGGTTATGAATATGCTGCCTGATGTGTTGTGATAAAGTTTTGGTCTTAAACATATTTTGATCGCTATATTTTAACTCAACATGGTGAAGTGATACAAGAAGGGTGTTCTGAGGCAAAATAGTCCCCAGAAAACTTACCACTATCTAACCATTATCAACATTACATATAAAAACTCAGAAGACATGTAGATTCACTCGTGGTTTTGGATAGTAAATAAACTGGCTATATTTGCATTGTAGACATTGCAACCCCTGTTTCCTATCATCACCTCAGTAAGGAAATAAGATTCAGTAAGATTCTCTACAAATAAACCATTTCACATAAAAAACAATCTGAATTACTTTTTTTATACCTCAATTATGCAGAAATTTAGAAAAATGGTGGAAATTCACTTTAAACACAGGATGTTTATTTACTTCATATATTTTGTATGTTGTTTCTTAAAGAGGATTTGAACCGATTTTTCAAAATATTCTGCATAATTCAATGGTTCAGATGTAAACAGAGTCATTCAGATTGGTTTGATGTGAAATGGTCCATTGTAGAGAAACTTACAGACTCTGTTTTCTTTACCACAGTGGTGACAGGAACCAGGGATCGCCAGGTCTACAACACCACTTTATTAACTATTCAAAAAACTTCTGAGTTTTTACATGTAATGTTAATAATTGTAAAATAGTTGTAAAACTAAAAAATGTTTTATTTGCAGACTACTTTGCCTTAGAACGTCACTCCACCATGAATGTATTTAAAAAAAAAAAAAACAACAACACAATTTTAGGCTTTATTAGAAAACTACTGCAAAACAAAGTCTCAGACACTGGGGAAGGTATTTGCAACTATTTCTAATAACTTTCTGTGTGGTAGCTTTTGGATGTATTTCAGATGTCTGCTTCCTGTCACCTGTGCTGTGAACAACTCAGACTTTTTTAAGTTTCTCTAGAATAGTGCATTTCACATGAAACTCTGAATGACTTTATTGACATCTTAATGAGTTAATCATGAGGAAACGATGAACAGTCAGTGGAATCCCCCTTTAATTAATTCCAGTGTATGGAGCTAACAGAGGAGAATGAGTTCCACTTTCAAGCTGCTGTCTCTTCCTCATGTTTTTCGTGCCACTGTCACCTTCAGCTTACTCCTCAAGTGAACTACTGTAAAGCTGCTTTGGGACAATGACTATAAAAGTTGTATTGAAATAGAATTTACTTCAGCAAGCAGATATTGTCTATATGGAACACAGGATTCTATAAAGTTAAAAGCTATTTTTAAAGTTCCTTTAATTAAAGCTTTCAGCAGTTGGGATGTTTATTGGCTGAGGAAGATGCAAGATATAACTGAGCTTGCTATTGTCTTCAATGCCAGCATGATCTGTGACCCCAGCTTCCTTTACTGGAGTTGTAGTGTCTTGGAAGCTGCAGTCTACTCCGCTGGTTGGAGTAGAAAAGCTCATCTCATGTGTCACAAAAGTTTCACAGCCTGCACCTTGTGACAGAAAGTCTTCACACAGCACGGTTGCCTCCTTGGACCAGTCTTCCTTATAAGTCTCGTGCTTGGTGATAATGCCTTTCATACCATTTGGACTGTATGTGACTGGTTTTGAGATTAATAGGAAGTCCATCTTGTTTTTTGGATTGCTGGCTTTGCTTTGCTGGGTCTGTGGAGCTGAGGTGTAACATCTGCTGCTAAATCTTCTCATTGAGGTTCCACACAGTAGTTTAGAACAGGTTGAGGGAATTCCTTCAGTGTTGTAAGTTTGATTAGGGTTCTTGCCATTAACCACAGGGCCAACACAAGTAGAGGAGAGCCCTTTTCTTCTAGGCATGACCAGAGGAATCAGAGGACTTTTGTTTGTAGATACAGACAAAGACATATCTTTATGATTATGGAGAGGGAGTCGGCTCAGATCTGGAGACTTGACCACATTTCCATCTGCTGAGAGCATTCGCAGATTCACGTGATAGGCCCCCATCCTTGTCGCTTTGAGCCCAGATTTTGAATAGGACCTTGAACACTGTCTTTCTCTCAGACTGCGGATCATGTAGTCTGCCTGCAGGGACTCAGTAATGTGGATGATGGTTGAGTGGACTTTGCTCTTTCTGACTGCAGTGTCCTGGGTCAAAGGTTCAGCGGGATCCAGACAGTGAAAGCCTGGGCTGCTGAAGGGCTCATGATGCTGCTGATGTGGTCTGTAAACCACAGGGTACGTTTCACTGACTATCTGTGGAGAATTTATGGACAATGAAACCAGAGACTGACAGCACAGATTGTCATGAAAAACTTGTGAACAAAAAGGATCCATTTATATAGTATAAATATTTAGAAACTGACATATAAGACAGTGTATTGTGTGCTAAGAGGAAGCACTGCTCTCAGTGTAAATGTGAGCCCTATTGGCACATGCCAGATGCTGCTTATGCCCAGAGGCCAGTATGCAGTTAGCATGTTCTCATCAGAACGGAAGGATGAGACTTTATTTTCTAACCCTTTTCTTTCGTATGATTATGATAACATGGATTCTTGAGAGATGGTGTTAGACTTCATGAACTGCTTACCCTAACATAAATGCGGTACAACATGTTTGCCCTCTCAAACATAAATGTTTATCAAAAGGTTAGTCATGAATTTTTAAAGACAGATATTTACCGGCAATGCTTTATAAACAGATGCAGGGCAGGGTGTGAGCACTTTTACATTTTTCCTCTCCAGCTCATCTTCAAAGCTAAGAGGAACCGGCTCATCGAGAACTTCCTCTTCAAATGGAGATAATTGCTCTTGTGTAAACTCTCTTTCAGATTTCTCTCCAGTTCTGCTGTGATAAAAAAAGTGAGAGAAATGTACTTTGATATTTTAAAATCATACTGATTCCTCTTTGGACATGTTTTAATGGTGTAAACATACTTTTTGTGAGGCCTACTGGTGCCGAGCTCGGCATCAATCTCTTGATGAAGTTCCTGAGTAACCAGGATTCCATCTGACTCGGGTAATTTAAATGGTCCATCCACTTTTGGGAGACACACACAGACACATATACACATGCTCACACACATATATACCAACCGTTTTAAGATGGTAATTAGTTTGAAGCTAACTGATGAGACAGGACAAGGCAAGTTTATTTACACAGCATAAAATAAAGGCAATTCATACATAAAGGCAATTCAATGTGCTTTACATGAATAAAAGCAAAAAAAAGAATAACAGCAATGAAAGACAAGTGAGGAAGATCATCACCTGTAAGGTATTAATCAATGCTTGGGATAAAAGAGAGTGAATTAAACCCAGGCTAACCAATGCATCATTATGCTTGTGCCTTTCCTTAGTGAGGAAGATCATCACTAAGTTATTCTTCAAAGTAAAATAAAACCTCTAAGATATTACTCAATCCTTGGGATAACAGTGCTAGCTTCCAACTTCCTTAGGATAATCGCTTTCCTCAACAATGTATAGATTATTGGATTAACCCTGAGAAGACATGGAGTAAAAGAATAATAGAATGCTAAAAAGCTACAAAGTGTAATTGCTTACAGAAATACAAGCAAATAATGAACAGGAAATAGGTCTAGACAGAAAGTACCAGAAAAAAGACATCTTTAGTCAGGAGTTAAATATGGCCAAATTTGGGGCATATCCGAGATATCCTGGATTAGGACAAATTTCCTCACTTAAGAAAATGCTGTGTTTCATACCATCATTAAAAGAGCTGGAGCACCAGTGAGAGGTGTCTGTGTGTCCAAGGCTGCTTCCCACCAAGGCCTTGCTACTGTCCTTGTTTAGTGCATATAAAGAGGGTACATTCTCCACCTGGAATGCAAACAATTTAATTCCGCTCATGTTCATACCTACTACTTCCCAAAATGTCCTAAAAAAATCAACACACACATTGATCATGACTGAGCATCAGACATATGAATGCAAATATATGCAAAAGATTGCAGACAACCCAGAGATCAGCCCATAAAACCGTAAATAAAATACAAAGCCTTGCCTTAGGAAGAAAATTGTGGGCATAAAAGAGTGTTACAGTTCCTATTCTCTGCCAACAGAAGGTACTTTAAAATCATGTTTACTGTTAATATGAGGGCAACATAGTGAACATAAGAGCGGGGTTACAAGGTCAGATATAAAAGTTATTTTTAATAAAAATTTTATTACAGTATGAATCATCAGGTATATATTCATAAAGTGGCAATACAGGCTGATATAAAGGGCAGAGTTACTAATACATGAGAGGAGACTGCATTATTTAGTCTCTCAGCATATGATATGGCACCTCTCTTGACCACTTCATTCTGTGTGGGGATCGCCTGTAGGGCCGAAGAGACTGTGGTTTCTTCAAAGATGTGATCATGAAACCCGTTCTCTCTTCCTCTTTGTCTAAAAAAAAAGAGCATATAATAAAATTTTTGTAACTGTTTAACAATTTACTGCAAAACCACATTTGTTAAATTTGTTAAATTCTGTCAAAATGGTTTATTTTGTTCTCTTAAGCTGCCCAAACTTAGTACTGTTGTATACGCTCTACTCAAGTAGAACAAATTGTTTTCCACAAATAATTACAGTGAATGACAAATAAGATTTTACACTCTGTCACAAATGATGAATGAATGCAAGATTCAACTTAAACACATCCTTAAAATTGAAGTCATTTTACTGCTTTGCTTAGCTTTGTCTTCCACACCCCAGCTAGAAGCACATCTTACCTTGGCGCATGATGTTTCCGCCTGAAGACTTAACATTAGCTGGACTTGTCCAGGCCGTGTTTTCATTGCTTGT